TGTCATAGCATTTATATACATACATATTAACACTAAAAAAGTTAAACAATTCGTCAAATAATATGTAAACGAACTTGTCATTTAGTCATTTTATTAAAATCAACCAGCCTCCTAAACAATTTTATAGAAAACATTTATTCATCATACCATGGGACAGCTCCTAGACCGCTAAATTCTAAAGATGAGGATTAGAATCTTTATAAGGCATCGGCAAATCTGAAAAGAGGATTACTCGCAGTATTGAATAGAACATCGTAAAACATTTTCTCAAATCCCCTTTACGTCTATATAATATTATAAGAATCCCTAAAAGTGAGTTGCTTATCGATGTTCTACCTATCGTATATACAGATGACTATCCGCAATACAAAATCTTTTATTTTTCCCAAGTTATTCCTCTGTTAAATCGGAGTTAGATTGTTTTATTGATGTATTAAAAATACTGTACTGTTTATTCTATCATTATTTCAATACTTATATAGGTACTATACAAATAAACGTGCACCATTTTCAATTTTCAAAGGTTGATTTGAATAAAAAACTTTTTTTATATACCTAATTAATTCTGTAATAGGATAAATAAGGAAAGAATAAGCAAATTTCATATAAGACAAGGATTCTTTGCTTATTGTAATATACAACAAATAGGAAGGAAGAGACGTTCGTACAAGTTATAAATTGTCTTTTTGGGGCCGAAACTTATTATATATATCCTGTCAATGTTAACAATAATAGGAATATGAAAATTATAATAATTTAAAAGTTAAAAAATCGATTCCATAATTTCGCTATCACAAAATAATACCTAATTAGGGAGTTGCTAGTAATAAACAATCTATCTAGCAATTAACAATACATCCTCACGTGGACTTACGTTTATTGCGAACTATAAGCAGAAATTTGAAATTTTTTATAATCCTGATTAGTATACTAATAGCCAAAATTATCCATACTCATCACTATTTCTCCATGAGTATTAAGTAATTTTCTTGATAATACATATATCACATACACGCCAACAAAAAAAAATAAAAACATACTTTATTAGAACAGTGTAGTAATTAACAATGTCCAATTGGATATACTTTTCAAGTTATTTAGTAGACATTTCAATTCATTCATCGGATTTAATAATATCTTAGGGGTCAAATGCAATGTAGGATGACTCCCCCAAGAGATAGAGTGATGATCTCAAAACGTTGGCTCGGAGCCAAATTTATGATGATGAAGTAATTAGAAAGAAACTTATTAAATATTCTCGACCCGATATTTCGTCAAAACAAGACATAATCATTCCAGGATATAATGAATCAGAAATAGTATCTAGTTCAATCCATCAAACGTAAAGCCTGATCAACAATTATAGAAATGCGAGAGCGTAGCTAGGCACATAGACACAATGCCACACGGATCCCACATGAGCCGTGCATGTGGGAGCAAACAGCCACACACGTATTCGATGTATGCCTCATTAAATTTTGTTTGAATAGAGGGATGAGCCAGCCGGCATATTCCTACTTGGTCAGATACAGATTGTAGCGTCAGCTGATGTGATAAATTGTCTCATTATATAACATTTTTTATTTAAAATTTAATTCCCATAATATAATATGAAAGTATTATGGACTTAAATGTATTAAGTAGTATAGAGTTCTCTGCCAGTTAAGCATTGGGCAAACGAAGAAATAGATTCATTATATACTTTCAATCGTGTCTTAGCTTATTTAAATTTTTATTCAACAACTAATTTACAGCTACAACAATCAACCATCCACTTAACCATATGCGTCTAGTTTAGCCTATGTAGGCTTTTAGCTATTTGGTTATGTCCTGGATTGATGAATATGTACTCATGCCTTATTATAAATATCTTGTATTCTATGCCGACTCTGAATAAATATAATAGTGATACAATGTATTATACATATAGTTGAACATGTATCATCTCACCTGATTTTCCGACTGCCAGGTTGCTTGACAATCGGTGTTTCTATTTGAATGGTGAGATATGGCAGTCGAATTACAGGGTACGCAGGCGAGGTGTCATTGCCGTGCCGTTAATGCAAAATGGCGTCAAAGTGTAATCAATTAAATACCTAGTTCGTCATCTTCTGTAATTCCAATTAGATACATAAACAAAAACTCATACAAACTCCGCTTAGACTCATATGTACGTCGATTTAAATAATTTGATACCTTAATAGAGTTATTTTAGCACCACGTTTTATATCTACCTAAATATTGTTATTCAATCATGAGAACAAGGCAGACGGGAATAACGATTAGCAAATATGCTTAGCCTTCGGGGCCCTACTCGCTATTCCATACACCCGTAGAGCATGCATTTTAATGATCAGAATAATTATTTTGTTGGTAACATTTGAAATAACTATTATAGTTATTTCAGATGTCAACAACAAAATATAGCGGTTGCACCATTTTATAACAAAATTGATGTTGGAACTATTAGGATAATAAAAAATAGTTATTTTATTATTCTAATTAATTTTTCCCTTTCGTTCTTTTTAGTTCTCTATTCAAAAAATATTACTTATTACACATTCCGAACTGACGGTAGATTTCATTTATTATTAATATCTATAGTTACTCTAGAGGAAGCTTAGCTAACTTATTACAATTGTATGCACTAATACATAGAATCTTATAATCAAATCCCTTAGGCCCCCAGTTCATTAACAAACTTCATCATATATTGTTTAGTGTTTTTACTATCTGTACACACTGTACTACGAGCATCGGCTGAATGGTCTGAGACGGAGGGCCGCCACAAACATCGCCGCTCCATCATCGCGCCCATTTCGCGAGCAAACACTCGCATGCCAACGCCCATTCACGTCCTCGCTCCGCGCTCCGCTCACACAACACAACACAACCCTACGTGCCCTACAAACGATCGCTTTTCACGTCCCGATGAAGACCTCCCTCCTTTGTAGCATCGACTTGTTATAATACATCGTTTTGTACATAGCTTACGTTATTTATATTATACCTGATGTACATTGTTATCTTTACTTATAATTCGTAGAGTTTACTTAAGTTTAGTACCATGATTTATTCTTATAATGGTTTATGGTTAGCAGTAGTACTACTACCACAGATATGATAATATTACAGATAATATTATCATATCTGTGGTAGTAGTAATAGTAACTACTAGGTTGATTTATTCTTTGGAAGTTGGTATTACGTGATACTCCTCTCAATGGTAGTCAAAGTACCTTGATGAACCTCAATGGAGCAGAAATGTTAGTTTCTCAAGCATTGACTCGTAATCTGTAAATTTAACGATATTATTTTATTTTAATGTACATAGAGTTGAAACTTAGAAAATTCCGTAATATCTATACCTGAATAAAAATCATGAAACATATGATTAAACTCATAAATGTTAACACTATAATAAAGTTCATTCGAACCCTAAAATTGTTACACACGACACAATGGTCCAGTATTTTTCTACTCCCCTTTAAAAGCTATGTGAAATAAAAGATATATATCGAACTAAAATAAACTTGAAATATATTACAGTATCAGACACGATGCGCGTTCAGTCGATTTGTCCACCTCACTGTACCTAAATGCTCAGCTTACATTTCTCTACGCTCACCGTTCCATCAACAATCGGAACTCAGTAAGCATTCGAATGCTTTCAATACGCTCCTCTACGCCAGACGGAGTGGACTCATAAGCACAATAGACGCCAATCTGACTGGAATTCGGCTCGGATGCCACTACGCTACATGCGCCGGCCGCACGCTACGCCACTAGTATTAGTGGTATGTCGCATCAAGAGTATTATTGAATTACTAACGCACACGACAACGATGACTGAGCACATTTAGAAGATTATTATCAAGTTTATACATCGGATGTCTAATAATAAACTTCATTCTAACTCATAGATTCCAAATTTGAATTCGTCTTTCTGATTTTACAAGTCAAAATGTGTCTTTTTTAAGTTACCTACGCTTTTGTTATCTACGTTTAATATACCTAATAATAAAAATTAATTAACAGATAACATATCTCTAGACAACTGAAACTAAACCAACAACCCTACATTTAAAAAAAAATAGTATTGGGACTATAAAACAGTTAAATATATTTTAAATTAATGCAGTGCAAGTAGACAGATCACTACAGATTTCATTTTCAGATAATTTCAGGTTATAATTAACATAATAGAAATAACAGCAATTTTATAATTTGAATACAATAGGGATTAATTTATGGAGGCAATGATCAATACAGCGAACATGTTTATATTAAATTCTATATTGGTTTGGATGCAATGGACCGGTCGACCACCGAAATGAAAAGCGACCACGACCCAGCGCCATTTTGCATATTGAGTGATTATTTTGTTCGTCAGCACGTTGTGAGCGATATAGTCCCATTGTATATTCATTTGTGTGTTCCCATTAACATAATAATGTTATTTTGCCTTTCCTCTGTAAAACTCTCAATATAAGGGCTATTATAAACGTTACCTAGGTTTTTATCCTACTAGTCGAGTAAGAAGACCGAAGGTAAACTGGAAAAAGTTGGTTTTGTTTGAGTATCTCTGTCTGAACATTGCAGACTCCACGCAGCATACTTTGTAAAATATTTTCCGTTGAAGGGTGGAGTAGGTGGCAGTGAATTTATGAGATATTAAGAAAAAGGAGACATAACATCATAGTTTTTTGGAACAGCGAACGAGAAGAACCATGGGCGACATGATAATGTGATATTCGTAGTTCACGTAGATTGCTACGGTTGCCACTTACCGTCATATAGGCCGGTAGCTTGTTTGCCACTTCAATTACAAAAATAATACTGTAATCTATAAGTAAAATGAACCATATTTAAAAAATATATATTTGTTACAAAATCTGTCGATAAATAATTTGAATGGATTATTTTGTTCAGGTTTTCACAAATAATCTAAATTATTAATTACGTAAATAATGAATCAATGATTTTTCTTTTTGTTACAGATATACATATAGAATGCGCTTGACAAACATGCACTCGAATGGACAACAAACCACCTCATGCTGACAAATATAACTCCTAATCACGAAACGACAGCAATGGAGCACCGTGTAATTATTGTCTTGGCTATCGCCACCCTCCTATGTAAGTACACATATGTATATATACAATACACTAATACTGCTACTGTTTCTGCTCTAAAAGCTGCTGCTCAGTTATACAACGATGTTTCTAATAATTCTTATTAAAGATATGCAGTATACAAATCTACAATATTGCGATTATTTTTGCATTATTAAACGGTTGGAATTCTATAACATGTTACTTGTAACTTTATCTCTTAATGGAATCATAAAATATTATAAATACGATAACTATATGTAGCAATATTATATTTAGTATGTTATAATTGAGAATTGTTATCAACTTCATTATGTAATAAAGCAGTTAGAACCTAATATATATACATATGTACATATATCTAGCTACTGAGTTGAAAGACTCGTCTCATTACGTGATATCACTCATACTTTTAGGTTCTTAGGTGAGATTTGAGATGTCAGAGGCAAAGATTAATCTAGTATTTTATAAAATCTTAGCACAGGTGTCTGGTCCTACCCCACATAGCGAGACGCAGCTGAAATATTTCTCGTTGTCCATAATATACCGCTATAGCGAAATGAAGCCCTCAGTATCTTAGTCACATACTCCCTACCACACTGGTCTAACTTTTGCAGTAACCACATTCTTTTTAGCAACTTTGTAGCGTCTACTTTCAACTATTTTTTTATATATGCTAGGTATAAAGTAAATAAATTTTTAGCAACATTTTAGAGCAAACTTTTGGCTTAGAAATAACATAATTACGTGTTATCTTCGTTATATAGATAATGTTACATATATTTATTAAGTTTGTATGTTCTATATAAAACTTAATTACACATTCGTATTATCATAATAATTAACGGAAAAAACGATATTGTCGTTTTTGGAAAAACATAACCACCAATTGAATCCAATATTTTTTTTAAATAATCCAGTATCCACTGAAATATCTAGCAAACCAATCAATAATAATGTAAGTATATGTAAATATACTTCTGAACAAATACTACATTTGGCATCAGTTATTTCATAGTTTATACTGTTTATGGACCAATAACTTACATTTATGAGACTGCAGTAAATTTTTCATGCAATGTATGGTTTGAACAAAATTTAATTTTAGAGAACGTCGTGACCTAGTGATTTAGACCCAGATTTAGAGATCTCAAAGGTACTGACATCTTTTCAGCGAGTAACACCAAAAACTTTATATGCCTGCTTAAGCTTATGACTATTTCTCGGGTGATAGAAAATACCAATAACAAAGAAAATGAATGCAAGATTTAGCTGTAGCCTCGCCTTGTAACGTGCCACCATAAATCCCTTTGCTTGATAATTTTTTTATCATATCCCAAATTCGATCACAACATATTCCCAATCCCCATCACGAAGATTAGTTATTTATTTACAAGCCAATATTATGTAGATAACGCCCCATTAAGTTCCATCATATATACTTTCTACCTTTTATAGAGAGTGCATTTAAGCTAAATAAATAAATATATTTATTTACCAACCAGGACAGTAAATTCTTTAGCCTCAGTTATTACATTAAACGATATTAAACTATGATTTATGTGATTAGTACCTACGTATAATTTAATTACTAATAAATGCACATTTCATAGATACTTAATATTTGACATCATAATCCATCTTACATAATATATTTTCTCCATTTATGGGCCTTTGCGCTATAACTCCAAATTATTGCTGCATAATGATATTGATTGCGACAAATAAGTGGCACTAACAAGCAAGTAAGTAGAAATATGTAAAAATTGTAAAAGCTAATAAGAGAAACAAATATTTTGTAATTTAACTTAATACTTTGGAATAGCAACAGATATATGGTATCGCAGATGGCACGTGATAACGTTATTATCTGTAGTGCTGTTTGTATATATATAGAAAGTTACCACTTACCATGAGGTGGGCCGTCAGCTTATTGCTATTCCAATTGTATAAAAAAGTAGAATAAAATTACTTTGTATTAACAAATTAACATCTTATTCTCCTTTTCTTCCAAATATTATTATTTCTTATCTCAATATTTTAGAATATAGAATACTATGGCTCATATATATATATATATATATATATATATCGGTATTTTTTTCAATTTATTAATATATTTTTTAATATTCCAGTTCCATAATATCCATAATATCAATCATTGTTTGTAGTATATCACAACATGTCCAAGTTTTCTATTATTCTTTAACCTTCTCGTATTTGGTAGATAGATACACATACAAAGATAACACTTCAGAAATATAGTAGGTAACATTTAGGTTAAAGTAATTGAAAACACACAGATTGAGGCGGTTGGGCGCTTGAGGTCCTGATATGTATCTAAGGAGGACTATCTCGATCCACTTGGTAGCAAATGGTCCGAAAGTAACATGGATATAGCGACACGACCCCATCTAAATTTCGTACCTCTTTCAAATAGATTTCAATTTACTACACAATTTTACATAAGAAAACCTCTCGCAGTTTTCAACTATAATGATGAAATTGCAAAGATTGATGTGTGGAATAAACAATATTGTTACGTAGTGACAGTAGAAGTAGTACCTTCTTTTTAAAGTACCCTACACAAATAGTAATAACACAAGTTATGCGAAAAATATAGCTTACAGTCAATATAAATGTGGTTTATTTTTTACTTTTTGGCAATACTTAGGTAAGGATTTCTCGTTCTCTCTCGGATTCATTCAATGTTTCCAGATTTGTATTATTTACCTATCAAAATTAATATGGAATTAAAGCAGTCATATGTCTTTAGATTTTTCAATATAGTCCAGAATTAAACAAAATAAAGACTATAAAAGAAATAAAAGGACTATAAAAATATCTCCTCCTCTTAAACTTTGATGAATAAAGAATCTTTTTTTTTCATAATATGTTGCATCCTCTTTTACTTTTTTTTAAATTATGTACTGTTTGAAAATAATCAGGTGAGACATGTAAAGACATGTTTTCTTGTACGCGTATTATTTGTATTGTATATTTAGTATAAACAACATAGTCATAAATTTAAAATATTTGATACTCTTTTACTTAACAATAAACTGTTGGATCATTGTATGCTGTACCTACATCAGATATCATCATATACACACCATTAGTCCAACGACACCCGTATCTCGTATGACATTTTTGTAAACACTTCTTAAGCCATACGAAGGTACTATCACAGATCATTTAAGAACCAATGGCATTGAAGTAACATCCTTTCTGACTTTTCCTTCTTTATCGATACACTTTGCACGAGTTCTTTACATAAAACTCTCGTAACTGAACTTGACATAAAAATGTATGTGCCACGATATTCCCTTGCATTTTTTACTTATCAAATGTTTATTTGTTATGTAGGATACGAAATGGTTTTTATTGTGTTTTGTAAACATTCAGCTTTTTGTATGTATTTCGCCTTCTCATGTCTATACGACTACATGAGGTCGTTTGTTTAGGCGTAGATTAGGCTTTATCTAACCTCCAATGCAAGTGAAAAAATTCTTAAACTCGCCAAATATATCATATATTTCTTTACCGCAGCCAAAATCATGTCACTTTTAACAAAATTAACTTAGTGTGAGGGGCGTATTTTTCTTTATTTGGGATTTTATAAAATGATAACAAGAATGAGCAGTGTAAGGGCAGGGCCCAATTGATCGGCCATGAATCTTAGAAGGAAGTAGCACGACCGAACATATTTTATTATCATTTTGACCATAGATAGTAAAAGTACACAGAATAAACAGTTCAATTACACAGGTTAATTTGGTTACTTTTAACATTATTTAACACCCACAATAATTCAAATTAAATAAACATCTGGTGATATAAACATATACACAATACTCGAATAGGTCAGATTCAAAATCTCGTATTTAACAGGTTTAAAGTAAATGTATGTTGAAGATTAAGAGCATTATAATGAAAATACGTAATAGTCTTTTTTTAACCTAATTTAGACTGTAAATAAATATAAGTATGTGTAGTTTATTAATATTTAGGACCATAATCAAATAATAAATATAGATAACGTTATGATATTACGATGATTTTCTATAATATTTCATTTTTCCCTTTCAGGTAACTCAACATCAGCTGAGGGACCGGTATATGATGGCAGTCAGTCAAAACCAGCTAGCCCATCATCAGCGGCAGCTGGCAATTTTCTCACGCAAACCGTATACGGTTTTCTCGACTTTACCACTACAATCGGCAACACCGTAATGGTGTTTTCCCCGAACTCGGCACCGCCTCCAGGTCGTCATCTTATTTTATTTTTAACTAGCTACTGGCCCTCAACTATCCCGGATGTATATGTACTATATATAAAAACCTTCCTCTGGAATCACTCTATCTATTGAAAAAACCGATTCAAAATCCGTTGCGTAGTTTTAAAGATTTTTAGCATACATAGGGAAAGACAGCGACAGCTATCTTATTTTATACTATCCAATGATGATGTAACTGGAAAAGCAAACAAACGATACACTAACCTGATGGATAGTGGCATCGAAAGTTCCTAATTAGCCTAATGAATACTTGTAATTTCACTGTCCAATATCAATCTACAAATTCACAGCTTGCACAATCTACTTAGCGTCAGAAATAGGTGATACAGCCTATGTATCAAACAAAGTAAACCTCGGTAAAATTACAACTTCAATATAGCAATCATGGATATTGCAAAAATATCCTCGTTTTAATATAAATAAAGCATTGTAAATAAATAATGTAAAAATAATGTATACATGGAGATTATATTTTCAATTACAAGAACAAATATTGTGCTTATTATTATTTTCTTTATACGAAAACAACATATTTATTTTTCAGAACCACCGAAAACGGAGAAACCTGTAAAAGAAAACATTATTGAAACTAAACCACCACCACCATCAGTAACTAGTATTAAACCTGAAGCCATTAAACCGAGCAAAATAGCCGATAAAGACAAGACAAAGAAACCAGTTCCATCCGCCGCTATATCCAGTGTCGTTTTGGTTGCATCATCCCCACCTAAAAACGATGATAAAATTGCTAATGTACCTAAATCTACTGCAAAAGAACAAAAACAGATAATCACAAAAGTAGAAGTAGTAGCTGGACCATCTAAAATAATAGAAAACCCTAAACAACCCCCAAGTAGTCCAAAGTCATCATCACAAAAACCAAGTAAACAGAGCTCTCAACCCAGTAGTAAAAAACAAAATAAAAGTGAAACTATTCAATCTATTACTAATTTAGTTAGTAGCAAAGTCGAAGTTAAACAAGGCCCTCCCCCATCAATAATAAATTCTAAAGTAAGTAGTGTAGTCCAAATTAAATCTAGCCAAGCTGAAGAAGAACCTGCCATTTTAATTACAAATAACAATATTGGTGAGCCAGAATACGATTTCTTATCCCGACAACCTTCTGAATTTGTGGAGGAGACATACAAGGTTATCAATATTCGACCATCTAAAACACATGGTCCAAAATCCAAACCAGGTCTTAAAAATAGATTACATCAACCAACACCTCCTCCAAATGATGAAGAACAGCCGCTAGGATTAGTCACAACTTTAGGAGGTACTATAGTAAAAGATGGGCTTACAACTATTCATGAAACTAGCGTTATAGGAACATACATATCTGGTAAATATGCCCAAGTACTAAATAGCAACTCAAAGATTTTGCCAGCATCTGGACATAGAGCCAAAATATCACCTACTCCTACTCATAGAATTTTGAAAACTGCAGCGCCTGGTTTATCTAAAAACCACAGAGTTAATTTGGAACCAACACCTTTCAGTAGTGATGATGATAGTAGCTTTACCAAAACTACACGTAAGCAAACAAATAATGGTAGTTCTTATAAAAATCGGCACAGAATTCCTAATAATCAGGATAATGATAGTCACGATAATTCTCCACCAACACAAAGTAAGAAATTTAAAAACAGAAATTCTTCAGTTTCTCAACGGACACAAAGGTAATTTACTAATTTACAATAATAAAAGTTGCATCATATCTAACATCACCATTTTATTGCCGACATGTAACAAGATTCATCTATACATTAGAATACGCATGTGATGACTGCCATTTCAATTCCGCTTATAGCGTTTAGAAAACTATTAAACTGTCTTAGAGTCAGGCTCTGTCGACAATAAAATGTTATTGTTCTTATTTTCAGTAATCGTTTTGGCCGGCCAGCAAAAAGTCCTCAACTGGCTACCGTCTCTGTTTTCAGTGAAACAACATCAGCATCATTTTCTAATAAAAGAAAGAGTAACCGGCATTCAGGACATAAGACAGTAACTCCTTCAAGTAATGATAATCAATCAAGACGAGGCTTCAAACCACGTGTTCAAGCAACTCCTGTTGATGTTTCTCCAGCTACTTCTACAAGTATATACAAATTTAAACTAAATCGTACACCAGGATCAGGACGTTGGCAATACAAAACAAGTCCAAAACCGAAAGTAACGATTCGAAAAATTAATGAAGATGAACAACAAACAACTCCAATCCCTAACCCATTGATTGATGACCCACAATCGAACGATATTTCTCCTCAAGCGAGATCAGATAATGATCTGGAATTATCGGGATCACAAAATGGACCTGGCACACTTTTTGAAAATGATACCGAGGATAATTCAATAGAAAAACTACCACCACTTGAAACACTTAAAGTTGAAATATCTACTCCCGCTGATTTTCGAGATGTTTATTATGAAATAGCCACTATCAAGTCTCCCTATACTTTCCAGGTAAATAAATTTGTTTTTAATTATTTTTATATACATATTAACTGTATGCATGGTTTTATATCAGACAACTAACACAAAATAAATGTTATATATATTCCCATTCTTATGATTTCAAAAATATAACGTAATAGTTTACGTAGGTTTAAAGGTCCACTGTATGTGTAAAAATTTGATACACGTGGTAGATGGCCCTATGAAAAGTTCTCTATGTTTTAAATCAGGGTTATTGGCACATATCATTTATAGCTCAGTTCATTTAATCAAGTATCACACATCACACACACATAAACAACGTGAGTAGATTTGTGTGTTTGTGATGTGTGTGAATTATAACATAAGATATGTGAATTATAACAGTAAGTACTAAAGAGAAATATTATATTTTCTTACTTATTTTTCCAGGTTGGACGTGTCAAAAACACCCGTATTATTACAGTTACCTCAACAATAGAAAAGCGCATCGAACCTACGGCTATAAATTCACAAAGTTCTCTCAACGAACCATTGACAGAAAACATATTAGCAACTGCATCTCCTTATGGAAAAGATCATAATTTAGATTCAAGCATTGCAACACTGCCCGCTATTACTTTAACATCAGATATGGAGACCCCACCTTTAGAAACGGTAACTGAAACATTCAGTACGACACAAAATATGCTGAAGACCCACATTTTACCTGTGGTCAGGGATGTCAATATAACTAGTAGTCTTACATTTATACAAACATATCATGTAACAAGATTTGTAACCGCTACAAAAACCTTGCCCCCAATGGACTTCTTCCAGTTTATCCCAAGCAAAACGTTAAAAGAATTTAATAGCCGATTAGACGAAGCTGGCTCGGAATTACATTTAGAACTGGACTTTGGCGATAGTAACGAAGAAGAAGATGGTGTGCCAAGACGTGTATTTCCTCCTGACTTGGATCTAGCAAATGTCGGCTCCGATTTTGATCTTACTGAAGTAGATAAATACAGATTGCCAGATAATCACTTAAGGTCAAAGAAAGCGCACGGACAAAACAAATCTAATCAAGTAACGGAACCACCTTCTCCAGCAACGCCAGCTTTGACACCAGAACAAGCCCAGCAGCTTGCTCTTCTCAGATTATTGAATCCTGCCGCCGCTGCGCAAATTCCTAACGTAGTAACAACATCAAAACCAATTTTAAAATATGAAACTGTTTATGAGTCACATGTTATACCAATATTTGATGGTAAAAATACAATTCACAGCACTATTTCTAGACCGGTGGCTACAGTTACTAAAACAGACTATGAAATTGGAACGAGCAGTCTCCCAGCACTTCCCTTGCAGCCTATTAATCCGCTGTTCCCACAACAGCAATTCACAGTAACTTCGACGCCCGTCGTTATGAACACCGAAGTTACTGCTACGGATAGTCAAGTTCTAAAACTGACTTTCGGTGCTAAGACAGTATACACCACACTGTTTACAACCAAAGTTGTGCCGACCATGTTAACTACGTACGTTACATCTTCAATACCAGTGGCGCCGAGTGCCGGATTCCCAGGATACTTCCCTGCTCCATTCGCGCCATTCCCGTATGTAGGTTAAATGATAGTCTAAAATATGTATGCGGACTGATTTAAGTTGTAAAATTATGAACGCTGTAAAAGTGACAATAATAATTCAAAAGTTTTACGCGAAAAACAACTTTTAACGTGAGTGCGTTATTGTAGTGCACGTGATAAACTATATAGCGAGTGGGTGAGCTGTAAACAGTGCAAAAGCAGCAGAATGTTGGGATTTATAGTCTTTGTGGGAACATGAAAACTCTAAACTGTATTTCTTCTTCTAAAGTTTTGTGAGCTGAGCGCGGAGCGGCGTTGCGTGTTACTAATACCTCATGTGAGGCTTTGTAATGCGATGACTAATGGAAAAGTTCAATACTTAATAAATGTATACACATACTTGCTATTCACTTCGTAACCAGTAAACGCTTTGTAAATAATGTTATTTATAATAAGTAATTCGTTGTACATATTATAATATGTTATATACGTAATATGATACAAATTGTAGTTACAGCTTAGTAAAAATGTAGATAACTGTAATTTTGTACTATAAATTTTGATACGTTTTACACAATGTATTGTTTAAATAAACGAGATGTACATTATAATAAGTAATATATTTCCTGTAAATCTCTATTTGTTTCAATCTAAAACATACATAATTACCAAACCAATAAGACACCATTTAAAATAATTGATTATAAATTAACAGTTTCAATATTTATCATATTGCAATATTTAATATTCTCTCTGTATTCTTTTATATATTCATAGAATTGAAATTAAGTTTCACCTTTTCTCAAAGAAAAATATCCAATTTACTCTAGATCCAGTCTAATATTTCACACAGTTGAGAGGTTTATTTCCCATGATATCTTAATTAAAGCCGTTTCATACTGAACAGCGGCGCCGAAAGAAACAAAGAGGCCTCAAGTTATGAAACTAAGATTAATGGAAGCTGTTTTGTAAACTTAATAAGTAAACCTTAATCTTGGAAATTATTTTTCTTATAAATTATAAGTAAGTAAATTAGAAAAAAATATTATCGAGTTGTAATAATATATTAATATTAATGTTAATATTTAATTTATTGGTAATTTACGACACCGATAACAAGCCATAACACTCAATCATAAGGTGGGGTACCGAATACGTGATTACTGTCACGAGGATAATTATTTATTAAGAAATCTATTCCTTTCTTATATATTTTTTTAAAAAGAATTTTTACTGCTTTAACTTGATGATCTAATCGGTCTAGGTTATTTTTGCGGGTATAGTATAGTTGTATCTAACTAAATGTATTTAGAGAAATTGTTTTCTTTTTAAGAATATAACCTATTTCCAATTATTTGTTCAGAACACGGGTTATGCTAGACCGCTTCACGCTTTACCATTTTTTTCCTTTATAGCAGACATGAAAATATGCTTGACTTGTGTAACGAAGCTGCAACAGGGAAAATGGAATCAGGGATGCCAACCGTATGAAGATCGTCGTACAAATACAATATTTATAGCCTCAACATTCATCCTAACTAACATTTGACCTGACATTCAAAATAACATTTGCAAAAATACGATTCTGTACGAGGTTACAGAGACAAATTGAGCTAGTATTTTAATGTTGGCAACCCTGGTTGGAATAAGCAACAAATGTTGATCTCAGGAGCTCAGAATATCGCGCATCTAGGTAACTTTCCCGTCGCTGTTGCGAAAACATTGTTCAGTTTGAGTAATGGTGACTGTTTACAATGTTTTTAAATTTATCTTAAACTCGATAACTGGCTGTAGCACCATCCGTTCCATTTGTTCGTTCCGGTAACCAATTATCAACAGATGAGTCGTCAGTTTCTTTGCCATTTCAGTAAAACATAGAAAAAACATCTTATATTATAGTAAAGTAAAATATCAAACATCTGGTAACGATCGTTGATCTCTAACAAAATTACTTATATGGACAAGGAAATAAATTTAAAAGTAGGAAAATAATGAACATGTTTAAATTATTCAATATGTTTGTTACTTTATCACACCTACACGGAAATAATTACGTACAGACTGAATAAATGATTTAATTTTGATATAGGTACAAGTAGATGGAACCTTTGAGTTCTTTATTTATTTTTATGTCATTAAAATGAAACTGGTAGTTGAAATATAGGTGATAACTCTGCCACTGTTAAATATTTTAGGAAGACATTTTTCTCTAGCTGTTTTAATGGTATGGTAAGATAAATCATTTCTTTGCGAATGAATTTACAAGAAAAGTACTACTAGTATTTAAAGAGAAATCCCAAGTTAATTTATATTGCATAACACACTGAATTCTAATCTTTTCTTTTAATATGTTTTTACCGATCACGCCCAATAGATTAGCTACTTAAATTTTAAATGCAAAAATGAACTCGCGAAATATGGAGCGCTTACGAATATTTTTATAATCAAATGCTATAATATAATATAATATACATAATTTAGACCGAGGAAAATAATAACAATAGTAGTTTTCTATATTTCAATAGGTACATGGATTTAAAAAAAAAACTTAATATCCAACATATATCTAAAACCAGAAAATAGAAGTCCAAGAATATATCGTTTCTTTGTCTCCTCTTGGTTTATTAATGGCTCAACTAATAGTCGTGAAATATAGAATGGCATACAAATTATATTTCATTCATATTTCAAAATAACCTATGTCAGGTTGCTATTAAAATCAGACAATCAACTTGTCCATATCAGAAAACAGTTGGCTATAACTTATTATTAAATAAATATATTAGAGTCTACACCTTACTGTACCTTAGATACCTGTATTCAACAACAAATAAATTAATTTACAAGTAGCTGTTTCAATTCTGAAGCTCTGAACTAAAACGCCTCAAGTTGTCTGCCTATGTATTCATTTTGATATCGGTTTTGTCTGTCGATGACAGGTAACATTTCCTTCTATTCCAACCCTTTACGCCTGTACGTAAATTTGTACGTATAATGACAAGATAATAAAGATACATTTTGAGAATGTTATAATTCTCAATAAATAAGTGTATTAATCGAATAAACAAAAAGTTAATTTTTGATCGAATATGTAGGTCATTGTAGGTATACTTTTTCATAGAGGAAAATTTTTAAATCATATTTTAAGCAATTACAACGATAAACAAGCTTATGATAAGTGATAACTGTGCCCTATATACATGAATACCACTGTGAACATCGCGTTATCATATGATTTCCACGATACTACCCATGCATTATACCGCAGCACTAAGATCCCTGCTTATCCTGTAATTTCACTGCATTACACCCTTCAAGCTACATACAGTTTGCAATGCAACCTTCTTGGCAGTTGAAATAGGTGTCAGAGTTAATCAAGAAGACAACTATTAGTTAAGTAAATTGTTGACCATTTATATAAAAAATCCAAGAATTGAACACTTGGTTTGATTTGGTACGATCTTTTTATGAAGTCGTGCATGTCAGCGTCACTTAATCTTTAATAATATTATATATTGAGTTGATACATTTGCTGAAATATTTTCGTGAAACAGACCGAGTGAAGAATTAAATCGGCTTAAAATTCATATTGGTAGCATCGACAAAGCGGTTTACTTTTTTCTTTGAACTAAAATCTGATTGGTATTCAGTGATAGACTTAGGAATATTTTGTCTATAATAATATATGTATGTGACTTTCTTCATTTAAAATAACACATTTGCAAAATATCTGTATAAAAATTATAGAGCAAGATCCCATACGTCATTTGCTTATAAAATTTGCAATTGAAATTGGTAAGATTAAGAAATGATAGTATGTACCTGCGCCTACTCTTATCTGACGACAACCTACTTATCTGATGGCTGATTTTTACATATACGCTGCTAAAATATTTTACTGTTTAACATAATAGTCCCAGATACTTCTCGTGAGCATTACCTAACTAAGTGAGAGTATTACTTACCAGGTGCCTTAAAAGTCTCAAGAGAATATTTTTGTATTTTATATTATATAAATACTAGCTAACTGCGCAACATTGTCTGCGTCATATATTCTCGTTTTAAATTTTTTTCATTGCAACTCCGTTCCTCTTAGTAAGTAATACCGTGATCATGTATAGCCTTGCTCGATAAATGAGGTAACAATGGTATTTGTAGAACATTGTAGCTAGAGGGAATCAGTTGCGTTTACTTACTTTTAATAAAACAGTATGTGCGCTTAAATTAGTTAGCACATCGAGACCAATTCATCAGAAATTAACCACAATTACTTCCGCTTGAAGAAGACCGCTTTGAGGTCGACCTCACATGAATGGGAACTCTCTGAACACCATTACAATTCCCTTCTCCCTTTTGCTGTCGGTTAAAAATGATTCATATTTTGCAAAACCAAGGCCGTATCTGTCGCCCCACAAATCTACAGTGCAACGAGACTCGGTGCTCTGATTGAACGAGGTTAGGCGAAATCGGCTTATCGTCCGATGGCGAATAATTTCATTTGAGTATGCACCGGGCCTCTCTCAACTCACCTGCTACACTGCAGACCAAATTGACAACTCGTCTGTTATGTGAATTAGAAACGTATGTAAATCTATGAAACGCATGTTTTACTAGAGGTAGAATTTGTACTAAGACGTCTGCTTGGTCTGTCTTACCTAAAGTAATTATTTTAGACTCCAAGCAGCTTACTTTATAAGCATGTGATTTGATTAAAGTGCGAGAAAGCAATCAAAATTACAGAATACTAGAAGCATAAAATCTTAGTCCTCAAAAATAGCAATGCATGGCTGCATTTCATATGATATCATATCATGTGATGTGATGACTACGATAATAGTAGAATGGGAACAATCCGCAGAACAATCCTCCAGCATAACAGCATTAACAGAGTAAGAAAGACAATAGAGATTTTTTTATAAACAGAAATAAGACATCAAAATTCAATGTCAATCAGATCTATATGTCTACTACATAAAATACTACCGAGTACCATATGAAACATACAATGCAGTAAATTAAATTTTATTAAAGTAGAAGATATCTATGAATAGAATATAGTAAACCAATTCAAGATATGATACATTTTTTAATTAATTTGTAATACCTACTGATTCTATTTGTTGTAATAATTTTCGTAGGAGCTATCTTTCGTACGGAAATCCGTTTTAAAAAAAACATGTTTCAATATCTATTGATTTATCAAAATATGTTATATCTGATTAATCACTACGAAGGTCTTTTACCTGATACTCAGAAGGTTGACTACGTAGAATCGTATTGTTAATAAAACTTCATATCAGTTTTCCTGATAACAACATCGGCGAAATATTAATGACATGAACAATGTCAAGTGCTCGGAAATGCATATTTTAAGTAGATTTGTATTTATTATCTCGATAATTTAATTGTAAAATACAACAGAAATATAAATAACGACAGTGTTCTTAAAAATACGCTCTCTTTTATAAGTTTACAGATATCTACTCAATAAGTTAGTTAGTTAGTTCCCTTCTAGCTATGCAAAATAAAGAACTTGACGACAGGAAATCAAGTGGGACAGGGGTACTCTTACTGACGACTTTTTGCTGTATTCTACTCTACTAACAGCATTTCACGGATTTCTTTATAACATATCCTATGTACGTCAAATGTCATTAAAGTCCAATCGTGATTGAGTAACACACTTTTAAATGTATAACATTATTTTAGTACATTGGACATTATCATCTGGTTTTCATTTCTTCAACGCCATATTCATCATATGCCAGAATTTACCCATACACGTACCTAATCTTATCCGTGAAATCATTGCATTAATCAACCTACTTTGCCAATCAACCACCTTACTTGTACATACTTCAAAGCTATAATTGCGATAAGTAAATGATATGGATATAATTATATTGATAATTTGCTGTTTACGTCAAATAATTCTTTAGGTCTTAGTAAACAATAAATTTACCCATTGGTCGGATGTAAAATGACAAACCGCCTGATATTTTATTTCAAATAACATGTTTAAAGTGTCTGAATAATGTGTCGATATAATTATATAGTGTTCTCAGTGTTAATACTATTCTCAAGTAAGTACCAATTTAAATATAGTGATCGTAATGAAAATTAATTTGTAAATGATATTCAAAATTAAAGAAGTAGTATAATGCCTGATTTTCTACAATTATAAAGTTTTGACAATTCCTAAAACCATAATTCGTTCAGAATGTAGTCTTAGTACAGTAGTTTATATTACATATATGTCGAATTTTGATATATACATAAATATAGGATTTTGATAATAATAGATAATAAAATAACGTAATATATATCTCAAAGGTCATGCGATCGAATCTAGATACCAACACCAAAATCTCTATATGCTACTTTACAATAAATTTCTGACTGTCAAGTAATAGAAAAGACAAATGAAAACCAAATAACTCTCCCCAGAACACGTATATAGTATTTATGTATAGTTGATATTACCTGTCTACTCTGTAACCAATACTATTCGTTAAGCAATAGATGTTTGCATGTTAAATAATAAAAAATATCCCTAATAAACCTCCACATTCATTAGAACACTGCTGAAACAGTATCTGAGAAACCTACTTAACCTATGACAACAAGTTGCTAAATATCTGGAACCTAATGATTTGATGAATATCATTCTATTTTCTGCTATAGAATATTTTATATAGAAACTAATAGTATAAAACAATTAGCACTTTAACAACCAGTTTTACACACATATGTATAAAACATGATTTAATGGCATATGTATGCGACATTGTCAAACAAGCGTTTCCACCACGTTTACTTAGCGCAAGATAAACATAACATATTTTGCGACAAGTGTTTCTGCGAAAACATTATATTCTAACGCTGTTAGCCGCAGCTGTAGTAGGTAATATAAAAAGCGCACCAAATCCGCGGAAGGACTATATACAGCAACTGAAGGCCTCCTGTCTGATGTGTACGACTTTAGTCTGAGGGCACTACTAGGGGTCGAAACCACAACTCAGGTGAATCGTAATTTTGATCCCCGTTGGAATGGGACAGGGAAGTGAAAACGCGGTGTAAGCATTCATTGCTAAATGCTTTTAGCATGGAGGCAACTCTCAGCAATTTTATGACTGCAACAATACTCCATTGCGTGGAAAAGCGATGTGTCAGGCTTACGTCACTGAGAACAAAATATTTTTTGTATAAAACTGTAATACCAATTTTATAAACACGATATATTTGCAATAAATTGTTTACATACGTATATTCATTTTGTAGATTTTGCCTATATGTCCAAACTAGGCTTACTTAGGACAACACAAGTTTTGTGTGAAACTGTGCTAGGATTTTTTAGAACCAGGTTAGAGTTTCTTAAAGGCAGGTGTTAAAGTTTCTTAGAAAATGCAGTATTAATTGTAAATACTATAAAAATAATAATTTTAAATTAAGAACGATATATTATAAATTCTCTTTGTTTTTTAAACCTTAAATTAGAATATGTAACCACTGCGTTCATAATAATATTTCAATTTTCATTAGCTGAAAACGGATAATCATATGTGGAACTTAATATTATAATTACACCGTAGGTGCCATTTTGGTAACGGCCCAGTCTAATGCAGTCTCCAGATGCTTTCAATACACCTGGCTAGGGCCCAGTTTTAACAACGAGAGCGTATTCCTAAACGCGACATGTCAAGATGTTACCAACATGGCTGAAGACGTTCCTTGCCGACGGCCACTAATCGCCACCAGTAAGTATGGTGCTAACCCAAATACTCTCATACGGACAAAGCCGCAGAATAAAATAGCTTATAAAACGTAACAAAAATAAGATTTAATATTTTTTACATATATTTACATATTACATACTTGAATATCCCGGAACTAATTAATGTTTTATTCAGTTTGACGACCTCGGTGCCGATTTAGCACACCGCTTTATGTCTGACGGTCGCGGGTTCGATTCCCCGCACGGTACAAACATTTGTATTCTAGAGTATGATTCTTTTTTTTCTGGGTGTTTTCTATATATATTATGTATATGTATTTACAAAATACAAAGTATATATATGAACTTATATCAGTGTGTAATAACCATAGAACAAGCTCTGATTAGCTTGAGACTAGATGGTGCTGTGTAAATTGTCCTGAAATATTAGGTATATTATATTACTGATACTCTTTACATAAAATATTTAATAAAAATTAAACATGCCTAATAACATCTTGACAATTAAATCAAGATCTTACCTAATTTAAATCCAACTTGTAATAGTAGTTTTAAGATGAACTATGATAACTCTGACAACCATCCACATGACATAAAATAGTTTGACGTCGAATTTCATTAATACGTTTAGTTGTAATGTGGAAAAGTAACAGACAGACATGTAGATATAGACATACTTTCACATTTTATGATGGATATAATTCAATGTAACGCGTTTTTTATATTATATGATATAAATAACCAGTACGTCGTAGGCGTAGGCGTTCGTAGGTGGTACCCACCCAAAAAGATCGTGAGTTCAAATTTGGCCAATGCAAAAATTAGGTATACTCTGAGTTACCGGTAGATTCGCCCTCTGCGTGCGAACGTTAGAAACATACCTAGCGAAATGCAGGAATGTGCAGTGTTGTGTTCATCATGATGTCGGCAATTGAGAATATTTTGACATCAGAGAAAACAGTATAAAAATATCATGTCAGTTACATGTACCTATATTAAAAGTAAATGGTCTTTACGGATTTAAATTTATATATTCTTGTACTTTCCAGAGGACGGCACTTGGCCAGATATAGAATACATTTGGATAAATTACCTTCTAGAAGCTTCGTGCGTATTAGCGGATAATGACGTGTGCGCCACATATACGTATTACTTCAATGGATTTGGTATGTAACTATATAGCGTACACTATATAAATTCTCACATTAGAATTTTTAAAAAATCTCATGAAGTCTTATGATCATTAACAAGATATATGTCCTTATCTAGCCCACCCTCTTTCAAGATGGGCAGCATTGCAATCAAGTCGGTAACTGCCAATAATCTAGTTACTGAACTAAAACCGCCATCAGTTATAATGTACAATCGCTGTATTTTTTTTATTTATGATGTTAAAATCGTAGGTATATCTACTTTATTCTATCTTTAAAATCGTTTAAAATTACATATTAAATTATAGTAACTATTTATAGTTACTATAATTTAATATGTAATTTTAATAATGGTGTACATTATAACTGATGGCGGTTTTAGTTCAGTAACTAGATTATTGGCAGAACTATCTAGATATTAGTCAAATGGAGACATGAAAATTTTAAGTCTAGGTAAGAGTAGGTACATACTTGTTTAATTCATCTTAGAAAATTAACTTTTATTTAGAATTTAACAAAGAAAGTTTTCTATTGCAGTGGAAAACTCAACTTCTATGTGCACTCGAGCTATAGATGCATATGGAGCAGCAATCAGAAGTGGCTGTTATACACAAGTTGATGGCAGCTACGAGACAACTGTCTGCTTCTGTCGTCCCGTGCCGGGTGGAATGCCATGTAATAACGCAATATTACCAATGGTCACACCAACACTCCTCGCTATATTGACAGCTACCCTATTGCTACAAAGATAGTTATGATATATAAACTTAATAATAAAATTAATCTGTGATTTTCGTTCTTATATAAAATTATTATTTTTGTCTTTGTTTTATATAATTTAATAATGAATAGTGATAATAAAATATCAATAAAATTTCTATATTTTAAAAATCACTATTTTTTATCTACATGTCGTTGTTGTCCTAGCTCCTAACAACACCTTATATAATGTATGAATTATAATAACAAATAAAAAAACCACAAGTCTTGGAAATTGGTCGCTTTAGGCATCTTGAACATATTTATTAAAATTTCATTGAAATTTGCATAACCTAGACAACCTTTAACCGTGTAGATTCTTATTAGAAAATGTATCTACCTATAAATGTGTTCAGACAATGACATCTGATAGTGTTGTTCTTGGTAACTAAACATTGGTAACTAAATATATACCAACTTTGTATAATATTACTAAACATAAAACCCGATTAAAGTATGCATTACTAAGGTCGGATTTCACCAGTCGTAGCATAAACACGTGCTATGAAACGGAGTACAGCGTTCACGTTCACTCGAAAAAAAGAACGAAGTTGATCTCGTTTTACTTTAAATGGAATTCACCAACATTATACAGATCGCGTTTACCAAAATAATATTTGATGCAATGGGTAATTTAAATAAAATAATTCTAAGAAATATTTATAATTCAATCATGTGATAATTGGGACAAGTTATTTTAATTTTTAATTTAATAAGTACCGTCGACTACAAAGTATAAAATAACAACCTTTATCTATAAACTAGTAAAAACATATTTTATTGAGGATATTTTTTTATATTACTGGCAATTTTCTTTTTCTTCCCGATATTGTATTGTCTAAAATTTTATTGATGACTGTTTGACAACTGACAGCTCCTTTAAATACGTGTAAAGAGTTAACTGTAGGAAATCAGACGTTCAGAATTTATAAACGTGTTTAGCGAAATTTGTAGTGGTGAAATGCAAAAAGAAGCTTTGAACACGTTAAAATATTTTAATGGCGTTCAGTACGAACTAAACGTGATCAATTCTTTGGTGAAATCAGACCTAAGTAGTATTCGTAGCGGTACTGGTAACGGTGGTCTGTAGCATAGAGCATTTGTATATCTGTGGTCAAAAAACTGTCACCGATTGTCAGTTGTCACTTTCGCATATAATGTCATTTCTAGTGCCAACAAATCAAATAATTACAAATAATCTAAGTTTATCAGACTATGTGAATAGTCATCAGAATTATTTTATATTAATTTACTGAATAAATTCAGTGTTCTCTTATTAATACATGTTATAAGTAAATAATAAACATGTATTCTGTTTTAACCAGAGGAAATGCTATACTTACTTATACTCTTAGCGTACTAGCATGTCTTACTTTCTTGTGTTTTCTGTCCACGTTAACAGTGGATTATAGAACTGCCGCACACATGAACACAGTAAAAGTAGTAGTGTCAGTATAATATTTTGTATTAAAAAGCGAAGAATATTAATTACAGATGTAAAATATTTAATTAAAAATGTAATTGTTTACAGTAAAAATGTCCCAGACTATGGTGCATCTAGAGAGAAGAATGATCTGGGCTTCTTAACATTCGACCTGAAAACAGATCTAACTCAACTCTTCAATTGGAATGTAAAACAATTGTTCTTGTACTTAACAGCAGAATATATAACACCAAACAATGAACTGAATCAAGTTGTGTTGTGGGATAAAATTATCCTGAGAGGTGAAAATGCACTACTTGATTTTAAAAACATGAACACAAAATATTACTTCTGGGATGATGGCAATGGTTTAAAGTGAGTATTGGACACATTTAATTCATTATTTTAGTCTACTCAACTGTATTTATAAAATAACACAACTGACATAATGTGATAACATCCTTTTGGAGATGTTATTACAATATGTCAGTAGCTATACTTAAATTCATTCACCAAAACAGTTTTGTCAAATCAATTTCACAGTACCTTCATTTTTTTTTTATTATATTTATATAGACAAAAAATAATAATAATTAAATTAGAATGATACCAACAAGGAAATAAACCCTATAAATACTATTAAAAACATTTGTAGCAAGAAGTCTTGCACTCAATGGACTGCAGACTCTCATTGCCACCTGCCAATCAGTCCAATTATAGTAAACATCCTAATTGTGGTATACAAAAAAATTGTAATAATCACAAAAAAATAACTCCTTTGTTGTTTAGACAGGTTTCTTGAAGAACAATCTTTCCTTTTGTACAAAATTACAATGTAAACTGCAGTAGACTATATTATTGTTAATACATATTTTCTTACAGAGCACACAGCAATGTGACGCTGACATTATCATGGAATATAATCCCGAATGCAGGTCTTCTGCCCAACATTCAAGCCATTGGCCAGCACTCCTTCAAATTCCCTACAGAGTATACTCAAACGAGAGTATGATCCAGGAGTTGTATTTAATATATATATTTCTAATTTTTGTGTGAGGGATGGATAGAGTAAGGTCGCAAGATTCAATTACAAATCTCTATTCAAAATTGAGTTTAATTTTAATACCTTGACCTAATATATTCATTATTATTTACCATTTTATTTAGTGTGGGAAATCTGTATCATATCACAGTCTACATTTTAACACTGCAGTTGCATATATTGTAAACTTTATTAGTATTGGAAATGTCATACAGCTGAGAGCTTAATGTAATTGTAAAATATATCCTTTAATTTATTCTTCCTTATAAGTAATGTAATGTAATGTAGGTTGAACTCCATTTTCCGCAATTGGCCTCTCATTTGGGCCGTTGTGCATGTAGTGTGCCAGGCTTCTAAAATAGCCAGCCAAGCTCTTCCCAGTAGTAGTTATACTTCATTATAGCATGCACTTCCATGTCTTTAGGGAGTATAAACGAGAAACATATTCCACATTAGATTTCAATTAGCAACAAAAATGTACTAGATAGAGGCTAGTATGTACCCAACAATGTACTACCAGTAAGTGTAGTGACATTGTAGTTAAAATAATGTACAAAAACTGATCTTTCATTTTTCCTGACCAGTAATAACATAGTTCATATTACCATTCTCTTGCATGAGTTAATACTAAACAAGAACCTAATTAACGAATTAAACTACTAGTTTCCTGTATTCTTGTCAGTGAACATAGGAATAGTGACATACTTGTAATACCACTATAGTATAGAATTGTGTCCAAGTTACTAACTGTACTGAAGCTCCTTCCATTCCTTTTTTTTTATTTTAATGATAAGTGAAAAATGCATCAGCATGGACAGACTGACAAAAAGAAATTATTGTCAATTTAAAAAAAACTTCGGAAAAAAATACTACAGATATAATATTTTATAGTGTATATTTTATCAATTACAATTTAAACATACATTTACCATTTTTCCTCTACATGTGTCATTCTACAGGAGAAAAACTAGATAGGTATTTCTCTCTTTTTATCTACTCAAAATACATGTTATAAAATATTCAGTTTATAGAAACTAAAAAATAAAAAGTTGTAACATTTAAAAATACTATGAACCAAATTTAATATAAAAACATTGTTATTATCATGTAACAATAACAAATTTATTAAATGTGAAATAATATTTATTAAACAAACAAATAATATTATTTCACATCTATATGTTTTTATGCATGGTGAACTAGGTACGAAAATGAGTAATTTTCAGTTTTATAACATTACACACTTAGAGCGTTTTGTAATGATCTGATATAAATGCAATTACACTAAAGTAGCAATTTATTCTAAATATATTTCTTTAATCCAATTACTACAATTATTAAGTTTAATTTTAACTATAGGGACCTCACACAAAGCATAATATATTTTTTATATTCTTGATGTATCTTATATAGGTAGTTTACGTAATTTGGAGCCATAAGTAGTTAAAAATATAAATAGTATCCTAATAAACTAGACTCGAACATTCGACGTATCAATCTAAGAACTTCGGGTCGGTACGCAACATTTTATTGCAAATATTGTATTAGACCCGATGTCTTTTTAAAATATCGTTATAAGAGTTTTTCAATCAGTTTCAAATAAATCTTACTCGGCAAATTAACTATGTGGGGCGTTTGCAATAAGTAGATCTGAGAGATTATACCCCTATTTTGAACATATCTAATACTTAATGTGCGCATATGTTACTCGCGCTCTTAGGATATTTTATTTTAGCCTGCAACAGCAAGGCAATATTTAACATCCATATAAATCGACAGTTTCTAAGTATAATCTCAAAGTATCACTATTTTATCTTGTGGGTTGATATAGTAGACTACCGACTGATAGGTCTTATTGGTTCAACTCGTGCAACAGACCCATCGGTTTAAAATTAAATAATAAATAGTAACATAATCACTACAACCTATCTATCGTCCACTGTTGAACTTAGTTTTGCCTATTTTTAGGCCATAAACAGAACTATTGCAATAGCATACTTCGAGTTTTCATGCAATATAAACATGATTATTATATTATTGATTTATTATTTGAAATATATAGCTAATATACATTCGGAACTCGTTTGGAATTTAATAAACACGTATTAAATTTATGTTATGAACATTTTACTCAGAAGCTGTCGAAGTTCTTCAATAATTAATATATTAAATTTATAAAATTAATATAAAGATTGAAAACTCGGATAAAAGATTATAAGATGTCAACAATTTGTATTTTAACTATTTAAATATTTTTATATACTTAAACTACAAATTATTTAACGTGAATGAATGAACTATAAGGTATGATAGTTTATTTTGTGCAACATTCTTGTCCTATAAATTAAAAACCCCAATTTTATCCTAATGAAACAATATAGAATTTTAACACAACCTAATTAAAATAGAAATTACAATAGTTAAAAATAATGTAAGTATAACTCTACATCGAGATTATTTTGTCTTTATAAGTCATTGTCAATATCTCTAGATTGAACAATTTTTTTAACAACAGCATCATCACTACAGTGATGCCAAAAGATGTTCATAAATGCAGATTATATAGTTTTTTATTACTCATCACCGATAAGGTTACAATTAGAAATAATATTTATAGATTTTTTTTATTTATCAAATATTTTTATATTTAAATTAATTATCTCTAAGTGCTACCCAACTACTATTAACTCTGCCAAACTGTTGTTTCACATATTGCGTTCCAATCACATCTAATTAAGCAGAACATTATTAACAAAGATTGCCAGATTATGACGAGGACGGTTTAACAGATTTTAATAGTCGATTATAATGCGCCATCAAACTAAATTGGATTCCACTACGCTGCAAATCGGTCAATATTTGCTGACCACAATAATGTATATTTTTATTATTAAAAATTAAACTCTTCAATTTAATTTAATGGTACATAAAAATCGGTACCAATAATGCCACAAAATTTACATTTTATATTATCCACCAAGTTATAACAAGTTCACTTATTCATAACAGTTCATAGCATATTGCTTGTATGCCTTTGGCATGTATTTAGTAGTCACGAAGTTCACTACCAAGAATCACTACATTTCATTCTAACATTCAAAGCTGATCCCACTAAATCGCATGGAAAAATATTTCGTATTTAATCAATACAAACTTCTCATGTACTCATAAGCGCCAGCGCATCATTAGACACGTCCATATCATTGACCACAAATTTATATGTATTATAGCGAATTATCTATTCTACAATTCAACAACATGAGATAAATTATTCTAATGCAGTAAGTACAGTACAAAGCATGACCTGTTATGTGAATTGACTAGCATTTGGTATGAAAAGTGAATGATTTTATTTAAAACAGATTTCTTGCTCCACATTTACTATGACAAGATAATGGGTCCCTGAGAGTACTGCCCTTACAAAATAACAAGTTTCATTATGTCTAAGGAGGATTCGAGTAATCTATAAAGTCTATTTTCTAATTTAATTATATTATAATTATTGTGAGTATTATAATTAAAATGAAAATTGTATTCTTATCAACAATATGCTAAAGTGAAAATATCTAAAAGAAATTATGGTTACATTACATAAGGTTTCAAGTCTGAGAAAAAATAATTAACAATTCCAATACACATTTTGTTCTTTTATTAATAATTTTGTTCTTACACCATGGTTCATTGCGGATGTTAATAAATGAACATGTAAAATCGACAGTTACAACTTAACAGCAATACTAAAGATCACAGTTACTGCCATACTAAGTGATTTGGTTTCACTTGGCATTACTAACTAAGAACAACCCTCGAAACAGATGCATTCCACCATTACACAGACATAACATGAGCTGGAGCATGAAATGCGATAATAAATATTAATTCTATTTATAATTTCAACATCAAATACAATCCATTAAAAAACAAAACGTCATTATTTTATTTATAGCTATATGGTATTTATTCGCTGTATTTATGTCACACTCACGTCTTGTAGCAAAATTTGAATAATGATAGATACCGTCAATAGACCTAACATCCAAAATTTGTGTGTAACAGTCAAAATATAAGTTGTATATTGGAACGGCGACTGTTGTCAGCAAAACGACTACCCGCCCGCACATCTGCCTGTTATGGTATAGGTTGCATTGGGGTTAAAAAAGGGACTTCCAGGAAAAGGAGTCAAATGTGCTGACAGGGGTCGTGTATTCTACCTATGAGTATACTCGGCAACAAATGCGCAGCCGTCGATTGACACTCATTCAGAGGCGGCAGGGCTCTACCGCAGGACGTCACGCGCCCACTTGCGGTCGCTCCTCTGTTTGCACATCTTTGTCTGCTGTCGGCGGTTGCCACTCTCGATCAGAACCGTATCGCCTTGACAAATCTAACATTTCTCTCAAACCCTGAAATTAAAGAAGCGACTCCATATTAATTTCAAATGAAATCATATCATCAACATTACCTTAGTAATTTCGAAAAAGATTTTTTTGTGTCAGCTTCAGTACAGATTTAGCAGCATACCTTATTCTCTGTTATGAGCCTTTGGTATAGTTCTTCTTCTTTCCTGGAGTCACCATTCTCATCTGTATTAACAGCTTTGTACATGATGCTAGTCATCTCATTGATTCTCTCTGCTTGTTGGCGAATTAACTACCAAAAAATTACAATACTATTAAATAAAATTATCTAGTTGAAACTACAACCTTTAAAATGTTGCACATAAAATACTACTTACTACCTTTATCCACTTTTAAATTCCTACCAAGAGGTAGGAATTTAAAACTTTTCATTCCTATCCCTACCTCTCTGTACTGCAGAGATATTTAGTAGATGGTCAAAACAGTCCTAAAGTTGGTCAATGTCAGGTAAACAGCAGCTCACTACAAGTGTAAGCCAAATCTCTAAGTATTATGGGTTTAAAAGGCATATTATGCTGCCCCAATTAATAAATGGAATGAGGTCAGAAATATGACAGTACATATAACAAATAGTAATGTAAATGTATGTACTTAACATATTTCTTTGAAATATAAACCACCTTACCTCCTGTTGTTTTTCATTAACAGCAGCAGTGAAATCTATTCTCGATTCCCATATTCTTTTCTCTGTGTGTTGACGATATTTCGACATTATCAGTTCCAGTGCACGTCTATGATCTTCCAAAGCCGCTCGAAGTTCCCCATTCTCACGTTGAACATCACGCATTAAACGGGATTCACGTTCTATACTAGCAATCAGAGCTCCACGCGGACGTTCACGTGATGCCTCATTTAAAGTATCAACTTCCTCTTTATACTGTAATTGTTAAAAAATAAAGATTGCATTACATTTTGCATTTATTGTTGTATTATGTATGTTATTATATTTAGGGCATACAAAGCAAGTATTGATAATTTTCTTTCCTTTTCTAACGTTAATACCTTAAAGTTTTGTTTATGTAGCAAATTAAATGATCAATCCCCTATCCAATCAAACGAGGATCGAAATTACAATGGCCTGTGTCTAGGTTTGAACTCCAAGAAGCTATCTAAATGGCTAACTCACGCTTTCGTCTGAGGGGTCAGACAAAAGCGTGAGTTAGCCATTACCCACTCCATAAGTGCCATCTGCACTCGCCCTTTATCGTCCAGTAAAGCTACAAAGGCCAGCTGCAGCCAACATTATTCTAGGATGTATTCCGAAAAAAAAAACCCCACACATAATAGGTACATGGTGTACTTCTTTTCTGTAATACTTTTAAGAACTGCATTACATTTCTGCAATCTGCATATTTACTCATTAAAGACAAAAACAAGGAAAAGTAAACGAAAAAAGTAGAAGAACGGAAAATGGGCATTGGAGAAAGTAAAATGTTACATCTATACATATAAATAAAATTGGAGTGATTGTTTGTAATACTGAAAAATCCACATTTTACTACATGCATATGAATAAATATGGTACATACACCAAAATAAAATTTTTTACAAGTTTTGTTTTGTCTGTCTGTTTGTCTGTTTGTTCCGGCTAATCTCTGAAATGGCTGCACAGATTTTGACGGGATTTTTACTGGTAGGTAGCTGCTGTAATAAAAAGTAACTTAGGATACCGGTATTTTAGAAAAATAAAGTTAAATTCCATGCTGACAAAGTCGCGGGTGCAGCCGGTATTTAAATAAAGATGTTTTAGAATTAATGTATGTATTGTATCATTCCATATGAAACCAATGATTGTGGATCTGTTTTGAAATTATAACATACTTAGGACCATCTTGCAAAGAAAGGGAAAGTAGTTTCTAACCAATTTCAGAATATAGAAGAGGTACTCCATTCAGTTGTACTATATGTTACAAGGAACTTCATCCTTTGTAAAAACATAATAATAATAAATTATTAATAGCCTAGTAAAGATAAGAGATAAAAGAAACCTAGAAGTACATTTTTTTTTAAAACACATACATAAAAAATTATCTGTCCATTACAAGCCTTCATATTTATGAGTAGAAATGCTTGTAATATGTGAGGGTTCAGAGCTGCAACCTTCAGAAGTAAGGTGGTGGTGGTGACCTAAGCCACTAGACCTTCAAGGTCATTTTATGCTTGTAGAGTGATCTAACACATATATATTATAAAAATAAATAAATAATCCCAAATATCGGAGCAGTAGTATTGGTAGGTAGTTTCTGAAATATTGTACTGTGATATAAATAACACATATTATTACTATATTTAATTCCTACTATTGCATGTATAATGATTATCATTATAATTTATTGGAGAGAGAATACTGTAGTTGTTTAGTTACTAAACCAATAGTATAAAATTAAAAAGAATGGTTGAAGATAAAATCACACCATCATCAAAAACTTTGTTAACTGGGAATTCCCTTTTTAATCATACATGTAATGTTTGAATGAATGTAATGGACATGAACTCTTTCATCAGAAGTGCCACTATGTCAGCCAAGAGTGTAACTTCATATATTTTTGTTAATAATAGTTAAAAACAGTATGAAATATATGTATGTATATAGGAAGGAAAATACAAACACTTTGTTATATAGAACAAAATAGTTACATCCTACCCATTCCAGGGCACAACATATATAGCAAGGACATATTTATAGGTACCCCCTTAGTTGACAGGTTCGTTAATCTATTTGTATTTCTAACACTCCTATGGCAGAAACACTTTGATAAAAAACCAAATTAATCTTAGTGGTAATGTTGGTAATGTTGGTAAAAAACATTGTTGTTAAATTATACTCAGTGAAAAATGACTATGTCAAGTAGTGCATTCACCATGACATCTACATTGAATAATACCTCTGACTACTTCAACTAGGTTCAGTTGTGAAAGTATATATCAGTCATATTGTGCTACATTAACAATAATAATTATTCAAAACTTTTATCAGATAAATATAATAACCAAGTTTACACTTGTCAATGTAATATATATTTGTAATAATTCAACAAAAACTTTGCCCTGTGAGCCTACCACTGTCATACTATAATATGTTTGGTATGCTATGCTATAGACAGTACATAATATGTACCATCGTCCAAGTACTGTCATATATGTATAGACAACACAAAATCAGGATTTCAAGGCCACTGGACTATACACAATTAAACTAGTATTCAATTATTTTATTTACTTGTTGTGCACAATATACTGATGTTATAAAGGTTCTCAAATTTGTGCATAAATATATCTTCGTTTTATGCTAATAGGTTTGTTAGAAAGGTTAGAAAAAAGTAAGTCGTGTCGCATCTGCGCTATGTAGTATTTTAGTACATCGAGCTCAAAAAATTGTACCTGTTTCATTGTGTGAATTTGCCTGTAAGCTGTTTGAGTTTCTGTTAACAATGCATCCGCTTCAGTCTCACGCTCTTTGAGCCGACCTGCGAGTCTTTTTGCGTCCAAAATAATTTGTTGTATGGTCAGTGACATCTGAAAGAGTCAGCTATGTAGAAAGGACTGAAAGCGACACAATCACTAAGATTTTAAACTTTTCTACACAAACCCTGATATCCACACAAAAGAGTAATGCAGCTTGCGTATCATCTAAGTAACTATATGAAATTAATGAAAGAAAACACAAATTTCTTCATTGAAATCCCAAACGACGCACATCAGCTGTTTAGTGATTAGGTAGATAGAGCGCGGCGGCCATTAGCGCATTAGTCAGTGTTACCAGTTCCAAAAGCTCAAATTATCGTACTTCCCTGTCGCAAATTACAGTCAAATTCCGTAATTTCTGAAACTCTAGCGAGTCAATGATCACTATACAAGTATTGTCATTTAAGGAGATATCTAACATTGTAAAACGCACCTGTTTTGTCTACTATTATTTTACAAAAAGAGGAAAAAAGAAATAACGAAACGGTTAACGAAAATCTTTTGTTATTAAGTTGTAGTGTAGTGATTACTTGCTTAGTGTTCTAATCAGTGTTCACTGCTATGATAATTTTACATGGTGTTACCAAATCCAAGTTTTTGTTTTGGTTTCTAACTTCCAATTTTTAACTATGCCATATGTTTGGAATGATAATATAATTGATTGCAACTGTTTTAACTAATTCTTTGAGTATGTATGGTAATTCTGTTTGAAATACTTATCTTTGGAAAGGTATATAGAGATCAGTGGAAGATGATAGGATAAATTAATATTTATCACGGTCATTATTTTTTACAAATCAATCATCCAAGATTAATAAAATAATGTCAGTTGGCAATCTTTAGGTACATAAGAATTTTCATTTCTTAGATAACTAAAAAAAGAATAAATTCATTCAGACAATATCCATTTTTTTATCAAATTAATTAAAAATCTAGTAAACCTACACATAGTTTATACTCAAGCCCTTCAGATGAGCCTATATTTGTAACATACATAGCACGAGTTAATTTAACGTTACTTAAACAGCCTTAGTTACTTTTATTGAAAATTGCATCAAGTAATAAAACTACAAATAAGCAGTTTAAAAAATAATTTAATGGTATTTTTTATGTGACATAAAGTTAATATTATATTTAAGTACGGACTAATTTGTAGACAATACCAAATAAGTACCTACCAGCGGGACTTGGTACAAAGTCTTCAATATATGTATATAATAATAATAATAATATTTTATTTATTTCTCCTCACAAACTATATGTATGTGAGGAGAATGGATTATGTATAATGGAGTATGTATATAGTAGTGAAATAACTGGATACGAATTTATAAGACATAATACAGCAAATTGTGTTAGGTAGCACTTTTTACAAGGTCAGCGTGATCAATAACTTGTATGTACCTGGTTTTTCGTACCAAGTCGCAATTGTCATTTATATCTTATTCAACATTTCAAGCAAATCCACCTACCTACCTAGCCCGCTTAATTTAATAGGTAATTAAAACATTGAAACTATCGATATAATGTCTTATCATTATGACAAGGCATGATCATTTGTAAAATACGTGGATAACCCTGCACATTACGCATCCTATTATCATGAGCCTTGTATTAGTTTATATAACGGTAAAACGTGACACTCCGACAACCAATCCGTCAGGAAAATTGTGTAGATATTTATTGGTATTAGAAGCACTAGTCGAGAGTAGGTCGTAAAAATAGCGTAATAAGTTTAATGAAAATTAATTAAATTTAAAAAAATAATATATAACCTATTGAAAGTAGTAGGTAATTCCTCTATTTTATACTATATATATTTTACTATTATTAGTAATCTTTCACGGTTTAGGTGTACCATATACGAGTAAATAACACCGCACTCTTCCCGCTGTGAGATACGGGTTCGAATCCAGTCAGATCTATCTATCTGGGGGTTAAATCTTTCAACCATTTGTAAATCAATTCCAGTTTATTACTAATTTATGCAGTACCTATAAATCCTACACATTTACCGTTACATTACATAGGTTCTTAGATTAATATTACAGTTTATTTTTTGTAAGAAATTCCCTAATAAGCTTGTTCACTTTTTCTGGCTCTTCTTGTTGCAGAAAATGACGACAGTTCTCGAGCATTGTAATTTCAATGTGTTCATACTGCTTCTTCATTAGGTCCAACACGCTGTGTCCTATATACAAATCGTTTTGGGCTTGTACTAATAGCATAGGAACATTATCTTTTAAATGCTTGTCTGGAAGGCTGCATGAGAAGTTCGCTCGGTAGTAATTAATGGGATACGTGAAGGCAACTGGAATAAAAAGATAAAGAACAATTACAATTCATTCATATAAAACTTTAAGGTACAATGAAGGCACTAAGATAGATCAATTTTTTGCCATACGGCTACGTTCTGTATAGGGTCACAAAATGTAATAAATAAATGTACTTCCCTTAACATTTGAGTACAATAATAAGCCGATAAGAACTAGAATACTTTTATATTTTTACAACAAATGAACAGTGTTCAACTGTACCTACGTGAATATCTACCAAAGCAATACATTTAAAATCCGTATTTCAGCATAGTTTGCCTGTTTCCGTAGTTTAGTAAATACCTATTCATAACCAAATTGTTTGTACACTTGTGTCAATGATTTATCGTTTACAGTACAGAGCTAGGTAACTCTGGGTACTCGTAAATATTATTTAACTACTAATTTACTTTGTTACTTTTCTGTAAAACGGCATACACACGACACACAAATTAGGGACAATATCGGAGCAGTGAGTAACCTTGGATCGCTTCGTATATACATAGTTCGATTTTACAAACATAGTCCAATCGATCCCCCGTCCAATTCAAACGGGGATCGAAATTACGCCGCTCCATAAGTCATTCTGCGGGTTTGGAGTGCTATTTGCACTCGCCCCCTATGGTCCGGTGAAGCTGTAAAGGCCAGCTTCGGCCAGCAGCAGCATTAGAGAGTTAGAGTAATCCACAAAAAAACAAACTACATAGTACGGCACCTGGCCGAACCGATTTTGTCTGCACTACCACGCGCCGAGCCAAAATTGCTTCTGATTTTAGTGTAGTGTGTGGGAAGGTTTAGTCTTGTTTTTAGTAGGTTGTTTACTTTTCCACATCTGTATGGTGGTTCTGGGTTTTAAATAATATATTATACAAACATCTTGTGCTTTCGTACAAGTACGTACGAGGAAATTACAAATCTTTGAACGAAAAACTAAAAATACAAGGAAGTAAAGTAGTGGGAAACATTTGACGCCACGGTGGTCTAACAGGTTAGCATACCGCGATACTTCGGTCGATTGTGAGTTCGATTCCTCGCACGGTACAAACATTTTTAATCATTAGTATGATCGTTTGTATCGGTTACCTATGAATATTGTATATGTATTTGCAAAAAAAATCGATGTAGGTATTTATATCAGTTGTTTAAGACGAGATGGTGCTGTGTGAATTGGCCTGACTAGTTCTAAGATATTATTATTATTATTTATTAATTAATTAAATTCACTCACAATCTTTTGCAAACCAGTATTTATAGCATTCTATATCTTTACTGGTGATAGTATCTTTTCCTGGAACCAGCATCGCTTTGTCAAATACTTGCAGATTATTACTTTGCATCACTTGCTCAGGTATATACGGCATACGGAAGAAGAATACATACCTGAAACAACATAACGGAACATGACAATATTACATATATACCTATCTACTTATATATAATTATTACATAGTACAAAACAAAGTCGCTATCGCTATACGTAGGCTTAAATCCTTAAAACTACGCAACAGATTTTGAAACGGTTTTTTTAATAGATATAGCAATTCAAGAGGAAGGTTTATATATATAATACATGTACACCCGTCCAAAGGCGGGGTGAGTAGCTAGTATTTAATATTGTACTGTTTATACCTAAAAATACCCCTGATAATTTTATATACAATTTGAATCGCAGGCAACAGTTGCCTTTGTTTTTTATATCACGAAGGTGGCAATCAGGCATACGGCCTATTTGATAGTAAATGGTCACCGTAGCTTATGGACTCCAGAAACATGAATAGGACCACACATATTACGTCACATTATGCCCGCGGTACTATCAGGGAGGGTGAAGGGGATTGTTAATAATGGGTAAGCGCTCCATTGCAATGTACCACGTCAGGTCGATTTCCACGTAGTCCTCTTAGAAACTATTTTTTGGAAAATTCGTTCACCACGATGGGCTAACTGACCTGACACCAGTGGAGGTTGATAAGATGAGGTCATGATTATCTTATCAACATCCACTGGTGCCCAGTGAGTGTACCATTGAAAATATCTCAATTTCCTGTAAGTCATCGTCGCCCTACGGTTCGGAACACAGCTTACAAAGCAAGCTCCTGTCGGCGTAGAAAAAAAAACACGACACACACAGACGACTTTATTCAAAGTTTACTTACATATTACTATAAAAAACTACTTATAAATATTTTAATAATTTCACTAAATTTGAAATAACACCATATTGTATAACTTGTCTTGTCCCAAAAATGTCATTCACATATTTAATAGAGATCTCGGAAATGGTTATGATTCGGATATTTTTTTGTTTTATACATATATAAGTCTGGAAAATCATCGCCATATATTAACATTACTTTTTTTAAACGCGTTAAATAAGTGGCTAGTTAGACGTATTGATTTTGTTAAGATTCCAAATAAAAAAAAACTTAAGCCACTGTGAGTGGATACATTTTTTATAATCTTACCATGATTTCATCATTTGTTTGTAGTCACTGAACACACATTTCAACCAAGATTCGCGTGATATACTACCCAATAAAACGACGGCGTCTAAAACTTCTGGATATATATCACGAAATTGACAGGCTATTATACCACCCCAATCGTGAGACACGAGGATGCATTTTTCACGACCTGTGAACAGAATAAACAACTATCAATAATTCTATAATAAGTAACAATTATTAATAAAGTTAATACCTATGCATAATTAACAATTTTAATATTGAAAAAAAAAACAGAAAGATTTTCTAAATCGATTCAATGGTTTAAGTGTTCCTAGGAGACTTCTAAGAGCATCTTTAAATACTATCTCTATACTCTTATATTAGAGTAATACAAATGCACCTATTAATGCAATACCATTACGCATATGTATAATTTATAAATAGGTATAGGTATATAGTTGTATATATAATTGTATGTTTTACGAATAATATAAGAAAATGAAGTAATGAAATTATCAGATAATAAATAAATTAATAAAATATTAATTATAAATCGTTTACCCAATTGACGAACAAGGTCTCGTACATCTTCTACGAGTATATCTAATTCGTAATCAGAAACGTTCTCGGGTCTTTCGGAGTCTCCATAGCCTCGCATATCAAAGGCAACGCACCTAAAATAAGAGACTCGTATTGTTTACTAGCACACAACACTAGCATGTTAGGCAAGTAGAGAGTGATCATGTGCTAACTTCACACAATTACACCGTTACACGAAGAGAATTCGTCCTCACACCTTAGAACCTTAATGAGCACGAAAGGTGCAGTTTCTAAAGTGGTTCTTCTCACGAACACTTAGATTTTGGAGTGCACCACCTGTTACTGTTACCTATGTTTGTCTCTATAGATTATAGCATAACAAATTAGGTATTATAAAATATTGGTAGTTGATCATATAGGTAAGTAATTTGATACGTAACGACGTAGTGCTTGCAGACGGTCCAATATCATATCTCGTTAATAAGTTGCATTTCAGCGTGTGCTTGAAAAAATAGTTATGGAGTTCGGTTCACTAGCCTTACAGAGATATGCCGCAAAGGATTTATAGTTCTATCTTGTTATTACTATGATGTTTAATTATTCTATACGTATGGTTGTCACCTCCTCCTAAATAACTGGACCGAGTTGAATTAAACTTAATTTCAATGGGCTCCAATCAATGGGCTCCTGGATGTTTTGAACATTTACATAATAATAGGCCCTAATATTTGGCGCTGCTTTTCCGATCGGGACGACCCCGACGTCTGCCGTATTTAAAGCTAGAGCATTATAAAATATTTTGTCTTAAAAGACAAGACATTTATTTTATTCTGGCATAGTGTTAATACTTAATAATAAGAGATAATATTATTATATTATCTCTTTCAATTCTATACATAATTTAATTTATTATAATAAGAATTATTAATACATCATATCTACATATAAAATTTACGAATTCCAATATATATGTAATTAATGCTTGTTTAATATACGGTTAGGAATATAGATAGTTAAGCCTTAATCTTACAGAGCATTCAGAATCAGCTCTACCTATACTAAAGTACATATATTGACGGCCTAGGTGGTGTAGCGGTACAGCACACCGCTTTACTTCCGATTATGTAATATTATGTTATCTGTGCTTCCGATGGTCGCGGATTCAATACCTCACACGGCACAAACACTTGCATTCATGACTACGATTGTTTGTATCGGTCTGGGTGTTTTCTAAGTATAACTATGTAATATTATGTTATCTGTGGTATAACGAAAAATATGTATTTACGAAAAAAATATTTATGTATTCGTACCAAGTACCCGTACACAACCTTTAGCTAGGTTAACTTGGGTCTAGATGGCGCTATGTGAATTGTCCTGAGATTATTATTACTAATAGGAAGACGAAACAGCCCATTAACACCGTGTCATCACAGTTGAGGTTATTGAATTTTCTAATTAGAGGTGACCCTACTAGTCGCTAAATTAATTATCATTTTATATAACATCTATATTTACCAATAATCTTTCTGGAATTCAACAATCTGGTGCCTCCATGAATACCAGAATTCAGGAAAGCCGTGCAGAAATAGCATGAGAGGTTTCGATGTGTCTCCACTTTCAACATAATGTAACTTTACGTTCTGAAAAAAAAATACATTACATTGTAAACATTTTTGCAGCATTGTGTTTAATACTGTCGCGACGAATAATTTATATCATGTTGTTTTGACCTTGATAGCTATGATATCACAGTAGTTACCTAAGAGTAGATATCAATTGAACGATACAATTCATTGTTTATTTAGGTACTCATGATATTACCACGTAATAGCTATTAATCTATTCGATTATATACTTAACCACTTGAAATGTCTATACCTAATTGTTTACAAGCTAAATAAATCGCCCCCCGCGTAGGATTGAAAAATATCCATGGAAAACTCAGCATGTGTTACGTTCACCACAACGTTTATATTTATCAATCTGACTATCCCATCTGGGATAACAGTCATTACGGTATAGTGTGTTTATGTGGCATTGCTAAATAAATATTAATAAAGAATAAAAATGTAAAAACAAATACAGAAAATTGGGGGAAAGGGGATCGTTCGTCATGTAGACTTATGATCTTATTGCTAGCTGTGTAGGTACCTGGTCAGGTTGATCTCCACGCGTTTCCCTCTGGAAACCGTCGTGATAAATTTCTGGTGAATTTGTCACTATGGGCTAACTGACCTGACCTCATACTCATCTTACATACATAAGCCACTGATGCCCTGGCGCCGCGAAAACCGTTAACGGAGCCGGTGCACCATTCCATTATCATTAAAAAATTATATAAATAGGTAATTATGTTATTTATAGTTATGTATTCGCTAAATAATGTCTATCATTTATTTGTCCTCAAATGTATGTTCCTTGAAAACGAATGGACCTATTACTGAAAGCGAAAGTTCCTACCTATCCATACATAAACCTTGATATGCGTATGGTGTTACAGCATTTGTGTATAAAATTACTTTGTTTGAAAAGGAAGAGTGAAAGTTGCTTCTAATATTTCTTAATGACAATTAATAAGGTTGTCTGTCGGGTTTAAGTTCAATTGTCTATTGCCATGAGCTACGACAAAAGACAGTTATCATAGCCATTTGTTATGTTCTCATGAGTAATAACTTTTTTAAATGCTTTTTAACGTCATATCGCTCACCATTTGCAGCAAATTTGCCCGCATGTAACCGTTAACGTTTAAATTTTTGAAAATCCTTTCTTTTCCTACTTATTGAAAGGAAGTTAGTTATTTTAGAATTTTCTAAATCTAGCGACTAAAATCTGAAGAATTCAATTAATTATTAGGATATTTTCTTTTTTTGTATAGCACAGGGAATATACGAGCTCTTACTGATGGTAAGTGGTTACCGCCGCCCATAAGCACCACCAGGGGAATTGCAAGTGCGTTGCCGGCTATAAAACAAGTTCCACTTATACTACCAATTGTATAAAATATCGCAGTCTTTCCTTCATTTGTCGTCCTACAATAACTTCCCTTTATTGTGCATCCTACTGTCCCATACCTAATGTAGGTCTTACATACGTACCCATTTAAAGCTGTTTTTGCCAAACTCGTTATTACAGAGAATGCAGTGAGTAACTGCAGTTGAATGCAATTATATACATATAATCTAGATGAGTTAACGGTGCACCTTCGCAATGCATTTCGCGAAAACCAGTTATGCAAGTTTATTCAACTCCAGGCAGAACTGGCGGGATCAGAAAGCGGAACGCCTTTCGTGATCAACCATATAGGTACTGGTGTACCTAAGCCGATGTGATAATAGGTTATATTAATATGTGTTATGAACTGTTTACACTAGCATAACTTCGTAACATAGTAAGGTATACGTTATTCAAATATTATTCACAATAGGAAAATATTACTACGGTTTTGTGGATAGTCTGTGAATTAACTTAACTCCAGCATTTAGTGTATGAAGTCTATTTAAATTTATATAATTTCATTATAATGTAGTTATTGTGTATTGGCTGGCGACTTTGGTAGTCTCGGCTGTACACGCAAAACGGTCCTAAAGATAGACTGAAATTGAAGAAAATACATACGTAGTATTACAATTAATTACAATGTAAATTCTGTTCATTTGTAAATCAATAATGTAAAATGTAAATCTAATTTAATTCTAATTATTGGTTCTTTACTAGGGACTGTATATTGTGTAGGTCATGTTTTCAAATTAAAATAAGAGAATCATTGTGGTATATCTATGTATTACTTAGATTTCGTTGATTATACGGAAGGTTGTAAAAATGTGCATGAGATAACAGTATTAGTGCAAATACACCGATCGAATTGAAGTATCAAGCAATATTATCAACACATATGTTTCCACATTTCAATTCATAAAAATAAATAAAACTCTAAAGTGCGACTCGCAAACCAAGAGCTCCGTTTGTAAATGGCACTTTTACTTAATAAATAATTGATTAAAGTACATGTCAGACCAGATAACTTATCTAAGTACAAATAAATTATCTGAAACAAATACAGCATATTAAAAATATGTTAGTCATTAATACTATTTAAATGTACATATACCTATCGATTTGTAAGACGAATATCTTCCATGATGATTTACAAAAAATATTCGACATAATCTCACGTAAAAATATCAACCTTCCATCCATTGCAAACTGCCCGTAAGAGGTCAATTAAAGCTTGATGGGATTAACTGTAATACTAAAATATATTACTTTTAATTTACAGTAAAATCCTAAGTATAAATTAGTCAGGTGTTCAGGACTAATATACGATTTGAAACGACTACACGCTTGGCAATATTTTGTTAAACCCACAAATCTTCTTATTTTTTTATGTATAAAAATGAAATTATGTTCGTTAGTTTTGTTAATTTGGCTAATTTTGGATTTGAATTTGTAGTGAAATTTAGAGAACTCCCAAGGAAAGTTTAAGTGGTGAGAAAATATGAAGAAATTGGGAAGGAAAGGAGTAAAAACAAAAATTATATATTGGGAACATGAACATATAATTTTTGTTCATACCGGTCAAACAGATTTTTAACTTTGACACATGATTCAGTTCCGAGACGGAACGGAGTTCGTGGGGTTAGCTAGTATTCAAATAATATAATTTTTGTTGACAAAATGTTTCAAAACCGTATGAAGTGTAACCGAACCTTCTGCGCTTTCTATGTGTACTTATGCTGGGGCCTTAATTAATGACAACTGATTATATTGCAACTGAAACCCATACAACGTACTTGTATTTCGTATCTGCAATCCCAAACTATAGCTGAACGACTAGCACGACTGAAATGACTAGCTCGCATCGGTGCAAAAATTGTAAGAATCGCAAATTTTTTAAAATCAAAATTAAGATCATATAATTCGATTATAATGTGGCTTACTATAAGTGAAAGTATTCTCAATATCTGATCTGTAAATAGCGGTAAGTTTTTAGTTTGGTAATACATTACAACAAACAAAAAGTCAAATATTTCCTCTTAATATTATTAACTAAGGTAGATATATTTTTGACGCAATGCGGTGTGACTAATGCCCAAGAATAAGTATTACTTAATGAACACAATAAATAGAATATCTAAACGTTCACCAGGAAGCTATCAAATAGCAAATAATAGCGACTATTTAGCATTTCTTGCTTAGATCTGCGACTACTCTCGGATAAACTGTTTTGCGAAATTTGACAAACACAATTATTATGAAGTGAAGTGACATTTTCCATATAGATGTGGTTAAGAATACGCACGCCAATTGAAGTTTTATGGTTGGTAATAAATTGTGATAGGAAAAATAAGCACGACTTCTATACTACTTTTAGCACCAAACAATGGTAACTATTGTAAGAAAAGCCGGCAATTGACTTATAGAAATTAAGTGTGCGGCTTAATGATATAATTAAGCCGCACACTTAATTTCTATAAGTCTACTAATAATTCTCATTACAAACAGACAGCCAGAAAGCTTCTATTTTCCTATTATATATGGAACTATTTAAGATGCAAATAAGAACGGTATAACTTAGCTTGATTTGTTACTCTGAAATGGTTCAAATTAAAATACATATGTTTTTCTGATAAAAAATACGACGATTTCAATAAGTTACAATTGAAAATTGTTAGTAACAATGTTGGATAATTAAGCCTCGGACGTAACAATTGATTACCTACCTATGTGGTTATTGTCTAATGACGTATGAGTGGGTAAACATAATTATATATCTAACATATATTGTTAGTAATGAGCCTGTTTCCTATATTGTTGGCCATGTACTTTTAACACATCGATATCTACGCAGTTTTCCCTGGAAAGCAGTGGTTAATTCCTGATAAATTCACTAATAACTAACTCATGTTGCTCATCCTTCATAATCTTTCATCATAACTAAATATATTATTAAATCGAGTCTAGTAAAGTTTATATTAAATAATCTATTAGAATAAGCTATCATAAAAGTAAACCGAACGATAATTTCTTAATCTCTAATAATTTATATTATACTAATAAACATGTATAATACATTTTTTTTACTAAAAAAAACTCTGCTGTATTAGTATACAGCAATATAATACTATACAGGAAAATAAAAAGAAATGGTATACTCACGTTTACTTTTAAATATTTATGCAATCCATATTTGGCATCAAATAGACAAGAAGGTGGTTCCAGCTTCTTTTTTTGTGAAGTTGAACTTCTAAAAAAACTCTTTAAATAATCGAAGGCAAGTCCCCATAACGCTAAAATACTATATAAAAGTGTCAAACCATTACAAAGAATGAAAAGAAATAGTGTATTCTTTATCTCACTCATAATTGAGTTTTAAATTGAATGATAAAATATGAACGCGCGCGTCCGATCACGGTGGGACCGTGTCTTCAACTGCTGCAGTGTATTATCCCAGAGTTTATTTCATTTGTTATTCTGTGCATCAAATCAATCTTTATTAGTGTAAAGGTCGTATTATAGATATACAAGATAATGTAATCACTTCTTACTCTCTAACAAGTGCGTCGCGACATCCACAAAACAACTACGTGTATCTATCATCACTTTCTTTCCTTTTAGGGAGTAGGCAGTGAAAATTGAAGGTCATTGCTTTCTATGTCTATACAACTGTCGATATATTTACTACTGATACTAGTTCCATTCATGCAATCCCCTCCCCTAGCTAACCCCTGTCACTTCAACCCAAATTTCATTTGACACTTCTGAAAGGAGCTTCCGATAAATTTCAAAAGACCGGTTGTCGTCAGAGGGGTGACGAGGGGGTAAAAAACTACTACGAGCACCATTGCCGGATTAATGAGATTCATGAGCATTATACCGCAACTTCGGTGGCATTCGTCTGCCCTGTAGATAGTGTACGGCAAGCCGCATCTCGTTATTAGGGTGACCTATTTTGTCCTAATCAATTGTAGAAAAGTGGAGATATCTAAACGCCTTAAGGCGAGCACTCCGTCCCCAGTGGGGTTTATACCTCTAGTCCGGAAAATCTGCGGTGGATTAGTGGAGTAGAAGGATCAGACTCCAGCTTCTTCTTCGCCGCCTGATTCTACGAGATGATTTCTAGCAGAAAGATCTACCCCCACTTTTCGAAAGACTTCCAACCCCTAGCGACACTAACTATGGATATTAAGATACTGATAATTAAAGCTTAAAGCAATCCGTCATTCAATAATTGACCTTATCCGCTCTATAGATTGGCAATTAACTCGCAAAAGGCCGCAAGTTTTAACTGCCCTTGCCTTCTGCAGTCGCCCCCTATTTTCATCCTGTAAACCTGGAGTTGTTATATGTATATGATTACATGTACCTATATTTTACTTTACACAAGTTGATGTCCGCTATTTCGCCTATTGAGATTTTATATTCCGAGTAGTTTATTTTTGATACCAAAATTGACCAGCTTTTGTCCCTTATTCATTTTTTCATTGGGTTGTTTATGCTATTGTCAGGTGCCATGAACCTGTAGGACTGCGACCTACATAAATTTATTGTGCTCGCCATTTTTCAGATTTGCTTCCTATACCAGCCAGGGACTAGACTAGAATTAGAATTAGGACTCTAGGATTAGGAATTAGATTTATTATTAAATTTATTGTGCTCGCCCTTTTTCAGATTTGCTACTTAGACCCGCCAGGGACTAGACTAGAATTGGAATTAGGACTCAAGGATTAGGAATTATATTTATTATTAAATTTGTTATGGGCAGCGTTCGCCCTATATTTTTCGTCCAGATTTGTTCTCAAGACGAAGGTTTACGACCAATGTGTGTTGCCAGTGATGACTTACGGAACAGAGACGTTTTTATGGGCTCAAAAAGGATGATAATGGAATGGTGCACACCCCTGCGCTAACGGTTTACGCTGGCGGGGCACCAGTGGAGGATGATAAGATGAGCATGAGGTCAGATCAGTTAGCCCAACGTGACAAATTCACCGGAAATGTATCACGATGGTTTCCAGGGGGAACCACGTGGAGGTCGATCTGACACTAGACTAGAATTAGAATTAGGACTCTAGGATTAGAATTAAGAGGACTAGAATTGAAGGATATTCTTAGGAGCGATGGTTTTTATCTCCTCAGGATAGAGGGTAAACTTTTCAAAGTAAACATTACGTATGAACGTAATATTTATGAGTGAGTAAACCCACATAGGATTTGTAGTGGCGTTTCCTCTTCAGTTTAGCAAAATCTGCAGATTTTTGTTGTGCATAGGCCTTATTCATCGCAAAAGATCTTTTTCCCTTGTCAGTCGTCCTGTTACAAATCATCTTCGCATGTTTCAAATCAATTGAGCTTAATGAAAGCATTAAGCTCAATTCAGCAATTTTATCGTAAAAACGTACTAAACAGACAGACAGCCGCATATTTGCATTTATAATCTTAGTATGTATAATGATCTTTTGATTACTAGTCTAAAATAGATAATATTGACATGTATGTATTTTAACGAACATTCAAATTGCAGTATGTATCTATTATATATATTTTATTTAATTGCATGGTGTGCCATAAATGTCATACTATTTGAAAATTAGACAGGCTTACAGTAAATTGCATATTGAAGTAGCATCTGACAATCATCAACCAATATTATAAACAGTTTTTTTTTTAATTTTAGCACCTGTAATGTATTTAAATACCTACTAAAAGGCGACACAAAGATTAGATTTTCATGGTTAATAACATCGTAATTGAACTAGTTACAAACTGAAATTAAATACATATGTTCAGATATTGAATTAGTGTTGTCTATGGAACAATATATGTTGTTATTCTTCTAATAAAAAAAAATCCGGACAGCTTCTTTATTTCTTTCATAAGAACCTGCCCATAACGAACACAACAAAAAGAATTTACGAATTATTAATCCATCAGTTCAGCCGTTCACGATGATGCCGTGACCAAGGAGAATAGGGATTTATTTGTGTATATACCGTTCCACTATATATAAAATGTATAAGCACATGGCATTTTCATTTCAATGATTCACTTTAAGTAATAAATGAAAATAAAGCAATTAGAGAACGAGAATCTTTTATATTTTCGGAATTTTTACTGAGGTAAATTTTGAATTTTTACAAAATCTATCCTTAAAGAACCTCAACGGTTTCAAAACCCGTCATTTTCAGCTATGAAAGGAAACCCTGAGAATTGCAACCAATAATCTTAATCTATTACATGACTTGTCATGTAATAGTAGGTACATACCTACTTAGTTTTAGTTTGCCCATAGATTGGATCTTAGTGTGGGATTTGTAGAATAAGAGATTGTAGAAATCTAGGTTGGTTTATTACAATTACAAGTATTTAACATAGCATACTACATCCATACATGTCATCAAAAAAATATTGATTAAAAAATTAAGTACAATTGGAAAAATATATATGAAACATTTACTAACTATTATACATACCAGAGTGGTCAAGAGAATAAAAAATCGTACAATTTTATTCACCATCAGAAAATCAACAAAATATGAAAGAAATATTTAAATCTGTTGTAATAAAACATTGTGACGTCATTCTCCATGTAAATCAGTATTTGTATCACCATATAATAGATCAACTCTTGTAACATCTATGAAAAGAGATTCTATTTCGGTATTTTCATCATATATCGGAGGCAAATCTTGTATGCCTCTCCACAGATCATGGTTATTCATAACTGGCATTGGACAATTCATAACTGGCATACTTGACAAAGAATTAATATTATCCGCTTGTGTAGATGTATTTCTATTACCGAGTCTTTCAAAAGTCTCTCTTTCTATGCGATCTAATCGGTCGATGACCGCTGCAGCGTCGGCCTCTTTAGGTCTCTCATTGAAATCTATGTCGATCTCGATACTGAAAATATAAACCACAGTTGAATAATGTACGTCATGTTCTTATTCATTCCTTTGAAATGAAGTAGGTCGTCCCGTGATAGTACCAGATTACATTGTGTGACTACTTCACACAATATAGCTTTTCTTTGTAGCGCGGATATGTATAAATTAATGGCAAACTAAAATACTGTTACGTTCTATAAAAAACTGTTCAACCCGATAAACAATTTAGATTTTCATTAGAAGTATCGCAAGTAGAAACAGTAGTAAACACAATGTGATCTATGCTAATCTTATCACTGATAACAATAATAGTGTGAAATGATAAGTCTGCTTTCCAAATGAGTAATAGCATAAAAATATATAACTCAGTACTTATATTACCTATATCTATTTAAATAAAGATTATTTCTGTTTCAATAATAATAACCTTGGACAATTCACACAACGCCATCTATTCCCAAGCCTCGCAAAGCTAGTGTTATACGTACTAGACAAATTAAAGACAACTTTATACTTTTACAATACTTATGAATACAAATGTTCGTACCCTACAAGCTATCAAACCCGCGACCATCGGAAGTAAGGCAGTGTGCTAAAGCAAGACTATCAAATTCATTAAGTAAACAGAGGCTGTGATACCTACAGATGGTGGAAGAGTAGACTAGACTGGTACTAATTATTATTAACAATGGTTCCCAATTACTAGTTTTGCAAACGATGTGCCGATTATGCTAATCTATGATCCACGTGCTGGTATTCATCTTTCCATTGTAGTTTTTAATCTCATATATGTATATATTTTTTGCATATTAAATTGTATACATGGCGCAATTAATGCCTAATAGCATTCTCTACCACTCAACCGTCGCGTGCAATTCAATAAATAATATAAACAGAAAAATAATATATATAAATATATAAACCCATATATAGGGAAATATATAAGCTCATAGATTTCATGTAGGTGATCGCTTCTGTTTATTATTCACCAGTATCTACTAGCGCAGATTCTATCACCATTTGCCAATCATCATCATCATCACAACCTTCACTAAACACAAATACCAATATGTGTATTTACCTATATGAATATATTCCGCTCGTCTCATATATATTTTGTTCAATATATGAGAATATGTTTTAAAATAAAAAAAAATTTAGGGGTGGACTACCCCTAACATTTAGGGGGATGAAAAATAGATGTTGGCCGATTCTCAGACCTACTCAATACGCTCACAAAATTTCATGAGAATCGGTCAAGCCGTTTCGGAGGAGTATGGGAACGAAAACTGTGACACGAGAATTTTATATATAAGATGTAATAATAATAAAAATAAATAATGGGCAGCGACCTGTACCATTAGGTCAGTGGTTAGCCCATTATGTTATTTTTTGTTTGTGTTATACTCCAAGCTTTTATTTTCACAGGGACCCGTGGATATGATATGGTACTCGTATATATGGTTATGGTAACATGATCAATAGAACACATTATTAAAGTACTTTCTTTGTAGTATGAACTCCTAGCTGTGTTCAAAGATGACATTGAGATAAATCTCTTGCTTGTAATCCAGGAACAAAAGCTTATGTAAAACACTATACCTTTTTATTTTTATGGTTATTACTTAATACGTGGTAACAGTATATTAATTTTCGTACTTTGTAGTAAGTGGGTAAACCCTCAATACTCGTATGCGAATTGGGGTCAACTACCACGCAATAAAGCATAAGGCCAACCGGTTTATCCCTACATTTTATGTAACAAAAAATTGTGAGTGCAAAAAAACCAAAATGTTTATTCAACATTAACCTTTGGTCTGAAGCATCAGAGTAGGAACCCCCCGTCTGTCTACGTTTCAAACCGCACGTCGCGTCGTGATGAACGCAATTTTTTTTAATTAGACTACGAGTTACCGGCGGGCGACTTCGTTAGTACGAAATGAAATGAATTTATTTGCATGAAAAATGTCAGTATTAATAAAATATTTCGCCATAGTTTTGGCAAAAAATCTTAGTAACATTACTAAAATTATACACAAAAATAAAAATGGATAACTTTCTGTACTTCATACACAATACTATAAGAACGTTATAGATGTAATTAATGGTTGACTTGCATTTGTAGAATGTAATTGTTTGGCTGAAAGGAGATTTCCAGGGCCGTAAAATACTTAATAAAAAAAAATACACAATAATTACATTATATGTTAAATTTAGGTAGGCTACATAATTTATTTTCGTTAGGTGTCAATCAATATTATTTACATATATACTTTTAATCTTATTACTGGATACACGTGATATTCGAAATAACCACAGAAGTTCCTTAGCTATATGTTCTGTGGAAGTAATTTTAGATATATAATCTTTTTGTTTTTGAACCGATTGGATTGAACGTAACACTAAATGTTACGGTAAACTTGATACAATGTAGCAATAAAAAAACAATTTAAAACAAATAAAGCCATCAGATATTAGTGTGCACAATCACACAGGCAAACGGATATTTTCAACACCTTTATTTCACCTCGATAACATAATTACTTATAGAAACACAATACCTACTAATATCTTTATTGAGGATCATAGATCATGTATAGTTGGTACAAAAAATATATTGCAAAGTATCTCTATGTTTTACTTCAAGAGCTAAATACTAAATAATATTATTGTGTCTCTTTCATAATTATTTTTGAAATACAGACACGGCTTTTTTATTTTTTTATTACATGTATTACCTACATATTTCGGTTTATTATTCGATATGCACTATATTTGTGCGGTTGTTATTAATGAACATATAATTATAACGTATTTTTACTAGATATCCATAATGAAGAGACGAGTAATAACTACTTTACACAAGATATATATTTTTATATTATATATATTCATTTCGTTGACGACAGACAAATCCTAATATATAATTGTACTAGTTGGTAGTTTGTATTCGCAAGTTTGCTCTTTTAAATAATCAAGTAAAGTTACCATGATTATTTAAAAGAGCAACACGTAAGTTTCTTGCTCGTTCTTCTTGTGATGAGACAGCTATCCGAATGACAGGTAGATTAAAAGAATGATAACTGTGACTAATCAAAAATCCTTAATTTAAATTTATTTCAATAAAAGATTTTCTATTCTATTCTATTACGCATCTTAGTACTTATGTGAACACGTGATAGACGTACTTACACGTTACATAACTTATAGTTTCTATGTCAACATTGCATATTTACCCAGTTACTTCTTTGAACTTAACCCAATCTTCGAGGCGAGGCGCGCGCGGTATTTCTGCCGCCAGTGCCCGACCGGCCTCTTCCATTGATTGTTCTACCAAATATTTCTCTAACTCTGCTTCTGTGAAAAGACGTAAACCTAACAAATATTTGACGCAAACAGTTTCAAAAAGTTGTTAGACAATGTTCTTTTGTAGCAAATAATCGTGTATATTCGTATAATAGAATTAGAGGTGTTACTTGTCAGTTCTTATTAGTTAGAAAGTAAATTCCGAACAGACATGACAGTGGATTATATATATATTTAGATTTGAAAACATTATTTTTCTTCAGGGTTCGTAAACCATAGTATTTATCATGCGAAAACTAACGATCAATATTAACCAGGAAATAAAATTATTAGTAGGTATATATTTTAATTATATTAGGTATAGACTTAAACTAGAAATATTGGAAATCCACAAAAAACTAAGTGAGAAAATTTAACATTTTAGAAATCAATAGAGTCCAAGTCGTCCACGACATACCCGGACCAACTATGTAGTGTATTACACATATTTCGGATTGTGTTACAAATATATTTGAAACTAGCTGTTCCCGCGACTACGTCCACATGGAATTTTATTTTATTTTTCGTAAATAAAAGAATTTTTCTAAAATAAAAGTAGCCTAAGTTACTCCTTATTACATCAGCTACCTGGCAAAAAAGGCCCGTTAAAATCGGTCCCGTCTGTATGTATAGATTATAAGAAACAGGCAATTTAAATTACTTTTAAAAAGTTTTGAAATCGATTGAGCAATTTCAAATTGATAACGTTAATAGTTCTTAGAAAATACTGTAAACGATATGGCATGACGGACGTATAAAGTTACATCACAAGCAGAACCCTTTTGACAGTATTTTTATTTTTACTTCTTCACTAAGGTACCCTAATTACAACTCAGAACAATTACCTGTAGTCTGTCTTGCTGTAGAAGGTCTGCGTAGAGCTCTCGCCAGGTTTCCACAAACCGGTTCATGCGAAGTCAATTTGCTGCCACTGCACCGCCATTCTTCGTCTTAGTAATTATTAATGTCATTTTTAATTTACCTACGTGTTAAACATTATTTAGATATAAAATTTAAAAAATCACGGAATGTTTATTTTTATGAAGCTTCCGATATTTGGGCAGTATTTCAACCGCCATGATTACGGGTATACTGTAAAGGTCCCGTGATTTTCCAAAATTTTCGTAGAAATATCGACCGCGTCATATATAAGTACTAATGCTTTTTATATACTTTTATTAGATTATTAAAATATTAAAATTTCACCATGGAATATTGCCTTTCATTGAATGAAAATACACTATCTAATACCACTAATACTATCCGCATAACTCCAAGTTGCAAAATGGGCTATTTAACTTTTTCATTTATTTCGGATATCCATCCATATCATGTTAGTAAACAATTTATAAACTATTTTACTAAATTACAATATATGAATATCCGTATTATTTGAATTCATATTTATATCTATGTCAATGTCCAGAAGCACTGCTAGCGCTCTGCCCGGTTTAGGACTGGATGCCAAGCTGTAAATTGTTAAGGTTACTTATTATTATTTGTATAGCACGCAATAACATACCCATCAGCGTATTCAATATCTGCAGTTTACTCAGAGGTTGCTGAGTTTTGTCTTGAGCGGTCTTTGGCCTTGCATGAAGAGTTTGTCTTGTTGGTCGTACTCCTCCACACTCTGTAGTGGCAGGGCGACGACGCAATGTAGTGCTTTTAGAAGCTTCATTAACACCATCAGGATTCAAATCTAAAGGCTATAAATCAAATGTTGTATGTATATTATCTTATCTGTGGTACAATAGCGACAAAATTGTTACGCTCGCTATAGCATGGTGCATTGAGAATTAATATTTTAATACTTATTATGGTGAGATAATATTTTAAGGAAGGTGTTTTACATTCATATGAATGTGGATGGTTATAAGGGAAGAGGAGGGCTGAAAAAGAGATGGATGGACTGTGTGAAAGATGATATGGTAAGAAAGGAAGTAAATAACGAGATGACTGCGAACAGCGATGAATGGAAGAGGGAGAAAAGGAAGAAGCAGATAATGATGACCTATTATGGTGACACTACCGAATTGATTGATTAACAGTAATATTTCAGAAAGGCTAATGCCTAGGAGGACTTGTCATTATCATCAGCATATATTACTGACATTACTAAGAATTCCAGTCCCCCTAGGCTAAAGGGAAAGGAAATTTGCATAGATAGAACGGGATAGATAGTTACAATAATGTAACTCTGCTTATCCGTCTGTATCAAAGATCTGAAAAAAGTCTACCAAATTCATATCAGCAGAAATTTAGTTATGTATAATTACTACGAGTATTAGCAAAACATTCGAACTCTCAAATTTTAGTCATATGTATATTAATCTACAATTATGATTTAAAAATTTTGGATTTAAAATGTGAACCTTTTAACTTATCCTGCGGTTGCAACCATTTGAGGTTCTCAATTTAGCACCCCGTCTCACTGCCAATGGTCGGAGTTCGATTCCTGGCACGATGCAAATATTCGTATTCATAAGGACGATTGTTTTTATTTTTATTGTGTCTCGGTGTTATTTATCTATATCACATATATTTAAATATTTCTATCAGTTGTGTGGTCCCTTCAGCACTGCTTACCTTGGAACTGTATTGTGCTGTGTGAAGTGTCCAGAGTTATTATTATAATTATCTATTTTTATATGTTATAGTACAATTGAGAATTTTTAGTAACAGTACCACATTATAATAAATCATAGGTAAGCACCATATATCAATAACCATCATTGCGAAATTATATGAGTGAAAAACGAGATATACCTTTGGAAATTGTGAGGACGGTCCAGGCTCAGGGGTACCAGATGAAGTCTGGGTAACGGCTGCCAACTCTTCAACTTCCACATCACTATCCGAATACGAAGACGGTGGATCAAATTCATCATCAGTGCTGTCTGTAATAAAAAAAAATGTAGTTGTAAGTTAAACATGGAGTAGGTATTTATTTATTAAAACTTTAATGTATAAATACAGAAATAAAGATGCATATAGCGGACTTAACACCTAGGGGGATATGTATATTTTTATAACCAACTAGCTGACTCATTTTTGCAACATTTTTCATAGCAGCTGTGCTTCTTCTATTCATAGCGTTACATAGCCTATAACTTATGTTGAATGGTTATGTTGGATAAATTGAATTTTTAATTTTTTTTTTTCAGATAGATAATAAAGGAAATTACACAAAACATCCAACCTCACAAATCGTATGATCTCTTTATAATATTAAGATAGATCAGTATAGACTGACCCGACAGACATTGTCCTATCACAATCAACAGGGGAAGTAAACGCACAAACTGTAAAATTAGCGAAGTTAAACATTTTCATTTCCTTTATTTTTTGTTCCCAAAGAACCTCATATTATAAAGTATTTATACAATGAAAAAGATTAATAAAAAAACACATTTACATCGTTTTCAAGTGTTGCCATGAATAAAGGGCATACATTTACATAAATACCCATACCAACATCATGTTTATATTACACGGGAATAGAACTCACGACCTCAAGGTCGTAAGGTAGTGTGCTAACACGCTTAAGCCCCTAGTGTTTATATTTATATATAAAGATACATACAACTGATGTCTGTGTGCAATGGACGATCGTCCAAGTACATCAGCATGGGTAAACAGGAAGCAATACGGGTTCTGTAGTGTGGAGAATCAGCTGCCGTGGTCCCACTTAATGTTAGCCGACGCAGCGAACCACAGACTCCTAAAGTCCATAGACGACTAGACTCTTCTATTGGATTGCTAAAAATCATAAGCACAACATAATACTTTTGTCTATTTCAATAACCCCTTAAGAAATTATATGATCCTATAGATCAATTAATACGTGAAGCAAAAATTTTGTACACCTTTTTAGGAAAATTGTACGGACAGAGATGTATGAAAGTAGTTTATATAGAAAAGGTATGCAGAATGTAATTTCTTTTTAAACCATGCATAAAATATCACCTTCAATAATCACTATGTATTTGACATACACACATATAATAATATACTTTTTTGTTTAAATGTTATTGTGATCTAATTTCGAGCATTGGGCGACAACTAGTATACATAATTAGAAGACTTGTGGTATGTTTCCTTAAGCTATTATACTTATATATACAGTGGGTTGCCAAATTAATAGGGACAGTCACGAAATATTCGTTTTTTGTAAAACATTGGTCTATAATTAATTAAAAACGTCACTTTAGGCTATAATTATATTTAATAATATCTTATAATGAATTTAGACTATAATAATTTAATATTTGAACAACTAGAAAATATAAACAAGTATAATAAAAATGATGATGGGAAATTATTAGTATTTTGTCACATTTCCTTTTGCTTCTATCAGTGCTTGAATCCGCCTCGGCATACTTTCAATACACTGTTTAGCACTTTCTTTTATTTTGGGATTGTGAAACCATACATTTATTAATTTTTCAATGAGTTTTACTTTGGTAGTTATGATTTCCTTAGCAATTTCCGCCTTGGTAATTTCCCACAAGTTTTCTATGGGATTCATATCAGGAGAATTGCCAGGCCAAGGTAAAACTGGAATGTTGTGGTCTTCCAAAAATTTGGTTACACTCCTCGCTTTATGACATGGAGCTGAATCGTGCATAAACACGAATTCCTCCCCATTCGGGAACCATTCCTGAAGTTGCGGCAACAGGCGAGTTTCTAATACTTGCTTGTATTGGTCCTGTCTCATGGTTCCCTGGACGATATAGAGGCGCCCAACTCCTTTTGCGCTGATGACAGACCATACCATTATTTTTACAGGGTGTTTAATTCGTTCCACTATGCAATCAGGATGAAATTTCTCGTATCACGAAGTTACTTTTGTTGGCCAGAATTTCATTGACTCGTCTGAGAAACATACCTAAAAAAATATAGAAACTATTTATAATTTTTGTAAATATGATTTTATATAACACAAATAAAATTAACCATAGAACTGACCTTATTCCAGTCTTCAACAGTTTTCAGGCGGTGCTCAAGCCCAAGCAAGCCTTTTCTTTTTCATCGCCTCTGTTAATAACTGGACGATGACCTGTCAGGCTTTCCTCTGCCAACCTTCGCTGTACAGTTCTTTTTGAAACACGTATTCCAGATTCCTGTACTATCTGAGTTAAAAATCCAGCACTTTTCTTTCTGTTTTGCAAGCAGATATCTCGAATTTTCCTATTGGAACGTGTTGTTGTGATACGTTTTCTGCCACATTTGCCTGTTCTTTTGGGCGAAAGTGGCTGATTTTGATCTAAATTTATTTTTATTTTATTGACGGCAGATTTCGATATCCCGGCCAGTTGTGCTATCATCCTCTGAGAGTGATTTGTGTGTAGGAGAAGGGTTTTAACCTCGGATTTTTTTCTCGGAGTCAAATCTATCCCTCGACCCATAGCCAAAGCTGAAAATATAAAAATAAATTAAAATTGTTCTAAAATCCGCTCCAAAATACTTTAATTTTAATTATAGTAAAATATTACTTACTTGCAGGTATTGATTATTTCACAAAACCACTAAAGAACTGTTTAAAAGAATAATTTACGTGTTTCACTTTTACACGTGTGAACGACTGTGTGTCTCTCCCGTCATTAAAATATATTTCCAAAATAAACAAATCTCTCAGCACTTGAAATTCACTTTGAATTTGAGTTATAGAGACAAGGTGAACATAAAAACATATCAGCAAAAAACTTTTACCACTTAAAACCACTTGAAGAACAAAAATTATAAAGAATGTGACTGTCCCTATTAATTTGGCAACCCACTGTAGATAAAAACTTCACTAATCGTTATCTACCACGGCAAGGTTGAATACATTTAAAAATTATACTGCTCAACTGACTTTCTTATTTAATATATTATTATTTAAAATTAAAAATATTATATACGTACTCCGCTAAATTTAATGTATGCAGTTTCTGTAACGCCCCTAAAGGCTGTAGGTCTTTAATTTTATTCCCACAAGCGTACATTTCTCGTAGAGCCCCTAACCCCCACACTCCATCCAAAGAGGTTAGGCCACAACGGTTTATGCTCAAAATCTGTAATATTAAATAGATAGAATAGATTCTCATAAAATATAGGTATTTCCTTTTTTCCAAATCCTTTGAATACGCAAGTTTAATTTCAGATTCTACTTCTAACCATTTTGTGTTCAAATAAACTTCAAATTACTACTGCTATACCTTACATATTTAGTAAATACCATAAACAAGTACCTAATAAAAAATACAATAATTATACATTACCTTTAAATGAATTAGCCCAATACCAAGCTCCCTGAGGGATGACAAAGCACTCCCGTCCAATGTTAGTGAGCGTAGCCGAGGGGTAAGCACATGGAGCCTCCTTAATCCCACACGCTCAGCTACAACTCGAAGTTTTGCCTCTCTAATGCAAAGTACTTCTTCATCTGTAGCAGCTCCACTACATTGTTTCTTAAAAAGAAACACGATCTATCAAGGCTCCTGTTCAGTGGGCTCAGTCATTTGCTAGCGTCAAAGTCTCAATGAAATTCCATTTGTAAATTAAGTATATGTAATAAATGCCTACACATGTCGTCTGGAAGTAATGGCTTATTAATAAGACGGCCATAAGGCCGTCTTATTAATACATAAGTATTGTTTTCATAAATAGTTTATACTAATACTTTTCTGTATCTCATGACAGATGAAGTGAATTAGTTAAGTTTATTTCGTTTATACAAATTAAACTAACTAATCGGTTGATGCAATTAATGCAAATAAATGTGAGACTCTGAAAAAAGGTGAGAGAAATAAATACTAACCGTTATTTATCACGTTGTAGTTATTTATAAGGGGATCACCCTTATATTAAGAAGGCATAGACAGTGAAATATATAGATATCGTTCCCCCACCATCTGTTATCGACTCGGACTTCATACTTCACAGGCATTGTCATTCGAGGTGCTTTTTCCCCTACATTTATAACTCATACAATATGATACCTATAGTATGTAATATTATGTAATCTGTGCCTATAGGGATTGGTGGTCTTCTACATTTATGCGTAATAATATAAATTAAACTTACCAGCAGTTCGATTAAAGTCAATTCACGAGGAATAACAATACGCCGGTAACCAGGTAGACGACGCTCCAACTCGTCTTGCCCAGGAGGCTGTGGGGGCTCCGGTGGTGGCATAGCCAATACTCTGAAATAATAAAATCGGATACAACGTCATCGTAACTCCTCACCAACAACTAAAATCTGGAACAATATCAAAGCAGTGGTGGAGAGCGCCCTGGATCGTTAAATCGCATAGCAAAAAGGGTTTTTTTTTCACACAGAACTGCTCCAATATTGTACCTGATTTAATATAGAGTATATTACTAATGGAAGGCTCTTTTTCAACAAGTTTTCTAACTTGTCCAACTAGTCATCACTTATGATTGGGGGCTGAAATATGTAGGTATGAACTATGATTATTCTTCAAATCTGAAATGACCTAATAGGTATATGGTAGGTACTTGTAACTACTTAAGATATAGGTTTTTAATATTATCATTCAATCATTCTATTACGCTTTTATCTTTCTTGCTATTCCTATTTATCATGTAAATACCTAAATAAGGGGGTAGCCCTTATATGTGGCGGTTCCGGCGAACTAGCGCTGGATATTTCTGATGGCGATGGCGATGCTGCAATACTTGGTGTCTGCGGAGCACTGCCTAGCTCGATGCACGGGGCTTCGTGAGCAGGCATTACTGTATAAGTGCTTACTGCTAATTAAAAACCAAAATTAAAAAGTATTTTTAATATAAGTAGATAGGGGAAAATGAGATTGTACGCAATGCGGATTAATTAACGCATTGCTAGTAATGCAATGCTTACCAGGTCAGGTACTCGCTGGGAAGCATCATGATAAATGCCTTGTGAATTTATCACGTTCAGCGAATTGACCTGACCTCGTGCTCATCTTATCATTCTCCACTAATCCCCTGTCAGAGTAAACCATTAGCGCAGGCGGGTATCCCGTTCCATTATCAAGATTTAATAAAATGTAAGTAGATATATATCATTACAAAAATATTATGGTTGTTTCGAACCTATAATATCTAAAGAATGACACAAAATTTTCAATTCCAATTTTTGATAAGATAATAAAATTATTACATCTATACGTAATTTATATAAAAATATTCTTTACGTTAACTGGAGTACGAGTAAATCATTTAAATATGTATTATACAGACAAATAAAAAAAAAGAGTTAGGAAGAAGTAAGCAGCAAAACAAACAGACGACTTTGTTTTATGGTATCAGTTAAACAAAACCAAAAACTTATAAACAAATGATTTACAATACAGGCCATATGCTGTCTCAAAGAGAGGACCAATCGCAGGGAGATAAAATTAATTTGAATGTGTAAAAGAATATATAGAGCATTTACACTTTAGTTTATCTGCCTACCCTATAAAGACCTAGATTAAATATAGATATCTGTATATAGAGAAAATGTTTACATGGTATTCCAAACTTGTTTCAGATGGTACTTACTTGCGTATAAGACTTATTCCCACTAATAGTGAATTTTATTATTATCTATCACATATACCTATTTGTCAATACGAACTTTGTTTACCAGTTGCCATGAACAACGATGGCGCTGTTTTCATTTGTAACAAAATAATAAGTACTTACTATATTACAAAACATAAAAAAAAGTTTAAGTAAATATAAAAAATATAAACAAGAAAACCATATTATTCCAGTAATACTTATTTAGAAAGTGTTGCCATATTAAAAATAAATGCATAGATTTATCGATTTTTTCGAATAATCGATAACAAGATATTACAACGCATTATTCGATGGTGCTTTTAATTAGTCTTTGCAAACAGTAAAATTTCATCATTTTGTATTATACTCTTATTTGGACCGTGCCAATAGGTACCTATGTACTAAGAACAATAGAGTAGGTATTCCGGATATTACGAAATATTGACTGTTAGACACAACTTCAAAGTTCACACATTCGATAATATGAATTTAACCCTATTATAAATTCATATTATCGAATGTGTGAAATTTGAAGCTTTGTCTAACCGTCAATATTTCGTGCCACGGCAGAGAAAATAACTACTACGTACGTATGTTAAATTATTTTCCACAATTAGTTGTGTTGTGCATATACTTCGTAGTTATAAGATATACCGTAGATACTCTTCCAAAATTATACTTACTATAACTTCAGTAACATCTTGCATTGCATTTTCTTGTAGAATAATATTTATTTTTTAATTTTACAATGTATATGAAAATATACCCAATGGATATGGATGATTATGAAAGATATGTCATTTATTAATAGTACCTGTTAAATAATTAGAGAGTAACTAAATAACAGTTACTTCTTATTAATAAGAGAAAAAGCAGAAGAAAAAATCTGTAAATTATTAATCACAATGCAATTAATAATATAATTAAATAAGTAATGTGTAATACTTATTTGGAATATAATATAAAAATAACATCAAAAAGTGAAAGAAATATTATTGTAAATTATTAACAATTTGTGTATTGTTTAAAATATTAATACTGAGTAAGTAATCACTAATACTATTTCCGTATAGTAAGTATAATACGTTCACATTATCATTAAAAAAAAATGTATTACTAGCTAAAAAATTAAAGTGTAGAAAGTTCAAATGAGACATGTGAGAGGGCAACCCTAGTAATCGCTAGGAATTTTAGAATCTCTCGGTGAATGATTCTATGATTCATACTATAATTGAAAGAATAAAACAACAGTATTAATATTGTTTAAAATATTAATACTGAGTAAGTAATCACTAATACTGTTTCCGTATAGTAAGTAAAATACGTTCATATTATCATTAAAAAAATTGTAATAATAGCTAAAAATTAAAGTGTAGAAAGTTCAAATGAGACATGTGAGAGGACAACCCTAGTAATCGCTAGGAATTTTAGAATCTCTCAGTGAATGATTCTTTGATTCATACTATATTTGAAAGAATAAAACATAGCATAGATAGAACTGACAAAATATTGGATAACGAATAATAACGTAGTATAGACATTTGACTATGTCTTCCAACAAAAAAGTATCTTCAAGGTGTTATATATACAGTATATTTGACATGTATTAACTCTCTGAAATAAAGATTAAATAAAAACCTGCATGTGTGCTTCCCGCACATCTAGCTGTTATTCATTATCAAAAAACATTAGGAGTAACGTACCTTATATATATATTTTTTTTATTATTTATTATATTTTATTATTATCTAATATTTTAAACCTATACTTCAAAATTTCTTCTGAAGACTTGTTTCCCAAATTTTGTATAGGTGTTTTACAATGCCAAAGATATAGGAGTGCCAAGCCTTAAAAAAATTAAAAGCAGTTTATTACGCCATGTTGCAATCTTGCTTGTTGTTTATAATACAGTCAGCTGTTAAAACAATTGGAGTATTAAGGGAAATTTGATAAAAAAACTATTACTACTGTTTTATTTCTGTGCAGTATTTAAAAGGCTATATTAGTGTTAAAATTAATTTATACATTTATTGGTTAAACGATTTTATGGCAGACGGTTACATCGTATTTTGTATATTTTAATTCTGAGTACCTAATGCATATTTTAACAGATTCATATTTTAGGTTAAATTAATGCAAAAAATATAATATTTTTATTTTAATGAAGTATGTATAGATATATTTTAAATACACTTACAATGACTGTCAGTATATTGGTCATTGAAATTTTATTGCGCCTTTAGGTTTTTTTCTATACATAGGTTCTAGGTCTGTTTGACGTTTTTCTTGCTTGGGTTGTATATTAGACGAGTATATTAATTATTATTATATAATAATTTTAATATTACAAGTTAAAATTGACAAGCATTAGTTACTATGGTTAGTATTGAATCGTTATAGCCATTTCATCTTAATTATACCCTTTTCATTATTACAGGAGGCAAATTTTAAAGTTTTCGATGGGTAAATTTTTAGTTCTCAACTAGAAAGTTGCAGCGGAATGGTACTGACGAACTTTGTATATTTTTCAGTCCATATTATAGACATAAATAATAATTAACATATTATAGACATACTATATATAATTTCTCTTTTGCTTTTTAAATATTTAGAAGTTACTTCTTGCATGTATTAATAATGATTACCTTACAGCCATACCATAGACAGTAATCCTTTCAAATTTGCCGCAATTTGTGTCATACGATACAGAGCAATGAATTTTATATCGAAAAGTTGGCTATCATGAGTACCTGCCTGTAATTGGTTCCCGCGATCTGAACAAAATACTACAGAAACCTAACGAAAAATTGGCCATCATGAGTACCAGCCTCGTATTGGTTCCCGCGTTTTTGAACAAAAACAGAGCGCTAAGGCGCCAATTTAGCACCGCTACGCTTATATTAACAGTTTATTGTATTTGCTTAGTGTTAACCTAAATACTTATTACCTTTGTTTTTCTATAAAGTACGTGATTATAATATAAAGTAATACATATTTGCAGTCATTCTCTACTAGTGTTGAATGTAGCTATTATTTTTTTCTATTAATGATTTTGAATACTTCATAATTTCAGATTGTTAAATTTCCTTACCTGCCATTGTTCCTAATTTCGCGAAGAGCAGTATCCAAAATGAAGCAAAAAGTTCTTGATAGCATACAGAGTCAACATGAAGAATATCAGTACTTAAATCTGATCCAGAAAATAATTAACACCGGTAAGCTTATTTAATTTTTTTACTACGAATTTTAATATATAAAGTGTTTTAGTTAAATATTTATAAAGTAAAGTAAATCCCAGCGGTTTAGCACATCGCCTGACCTCTGTGACCCGCAGGTTCGATTATGCAGACGAATTCAGGATTATATATTCTGGGTGTTCTATGTGACTATATTATTTATATGTAGCACAAGTTCTGTTAACTTAGAAATAGATGGCGCTGTGCGAATAGCCAGGGTTATTGTTATTATTTAACCAAATATACTAGTCATTTACTGTTATTGCTGTTATATTATTGCATGGCATCTACATATATGTACTTAAAATATTTCAGGTGATAAAAGGGTTGACAGAACTGGTGTTGGAACTTTATCAATATTTGGTGCTATGCAGAGATATTCATTAACAAATAACACCCTACCTCTGTTAACAACTAAAAGAGTATTTACTAAAGGAGTAATATATGAGTTACTATGGATGTTGTCTGGGTCTACTGATACAAAAGCTCTTGCATCTAAAGGAGTACATATTTGGGATGCAAATGGATCTAGACGTTTCCTTGACAACATTGGTTTCTATGACAGAGAAGAAGGTATTTCTTATTACAATAAATACAATTGTAAACATTATTAGTTAGTATTTTGTGTTAAAAATGCATTTATGATTTTTATAAACAGCTATAGGTATTACTGTACTTACAGATTTTTATGTATAAATCATTGAATGAACCATGTGAAAGCTGAATTGCATAAATGGAGATTTCTGCCAGTAGAAGATGACAGACTGCACCAAATAATGGGATTACGGCAATGCAATGATGATCTAAAAGTCTAAATAAGAATGATTGCAAAGATTACATCATAGGTACTTCTATTTTTAGGTGATCTTGGCCCTGTTTATGGATTCCAATGGAGACACAGTGGTGCTAAATACGTAGATAATAAAACTGATTACAATGGAAAAGGGATTGATCAAATACAAAATGTTATAAACACTATCAAGTAATTATATTTAAATTTTTATATTTGCTAACAATTATAGATAAAATATTCATACAAGGACCCAAATGAGAGGCTGATTGTGGAAAATATAGTCCAATTTACATTATAGGTAAAATAAAATTTTATTTCAAACCTCTTTGTTATTGTAGGACAAATCCAGCTGACCGTCGGATGATAGTATGTGCATGGAATCCATCAGATTTGAGTCAAATGGCGCTGCCGCCATGTCATTGTCTTGCTCAATTCCATGTTGCCAATAAAAAATTGAATTGTCTACTATACCAGAGAAGCGCCGACATGGGTCTTGGTGTTCCATTTAATATTGCCAGTTATTCACTCTTAACACATATGATTGCACATATTACAGGACTAGAAGTAAGTACACTATTAAATATTACTTGAAATTGCTAACATTATATTTTTATATAAACAGGGACTATAGATTTGTGTTTTCCCTACCTGTATTAAAATATAAAAGTACTTAACATTTTATTAAGAAAAGTATTGCTTCACATAATGAATAGGATAGTAGTAATTTAGAGATACACAAGAAAATCTTTTAAAACAATTTTTTTTTCAGGCTGGAGAATTTGTCCATACAACAGGTGATACCCATGTATATCTGAATCACATAGTACCACTTACAGAACAATTAAAAAGAGAACCCAGACCATTCCCCACGTTAAAATTTGCAAGAAAAGTTGAATCTATTGATGATTTTAAATTTGAAGATTTCATTATTGAGGAATACAAACCACATCCCAAAATTGAAATGGAAATGGCTGTTTGAAACATTTAATGTTATTTCAAAACATGTTAAGTATTAAAAGTAAGTTGTACTATATAGGCATTAATTATTGTGGTAATTATAATTACTTAATAATTAAAAATGTGCTTTATTGTAAATTGTTTAAAACAATGTTCTATTATAAAATTATTAAAAATACTAATACTAGTATCATTAGTCATCAAATTACTAGTAATACTGAGTTACTTTGTAACAGTCTATATTCATAAAAACTAACAACTATTATATAGTATTTTTATGAATTGAATGTTCGGATGAACTGTTAGGTTTATAATAAGTCTATTATAGTCATTAAATTTAGACATAATTGGAATTGAGAATAAACAAAACTTCTATTTTTTTTAATAAAATACTTTTTGTCTTCTATTATTTTATTTCAATACGCTTAATTATTCTAAATATAAATTTCTATGTAGATAGGTACATACTTCATTGGAATTCAAATGTGACACTAGTACTTAATATTAGATACTTTGTAAAAAAAATCAACAATATCTAACAAGTCCATACTTTTACTTAAAATATAATTTCAACATTCAAAACTATATATTTATATGTTTTGTACATAACTCTCTCATAGTAAGAATGCTTTTAGTTCCCGCGCCAGATATTTTTTTCCTCTCGGCAGAAAACATGTTATGAAGCTTATTGACAGCGCGGTTCCGAGGGTGGATTTTGAGTAACATGTAAAAAAAATTTCCTCCCGGTTCAAATTTGCTGTATATAGAAGATAAAAAGTTGACTGGCTGGAGCGTGATGTATTATGTCAGTTCATAGCACAAATTTAAAAAATCCTTTTTTTATCTAACTTCAAAATTTGTACGTTTGTATGCTATTTTGAATAAATAAAATTGGTAGCTGACTGCAACGTGGTGAGATACTAGTTAGCGGATTGTATTTAATTATAATATTGACAATTTAGTCTAATAATAATAATAATAATAATAATCTCAGGACAATTCACACAGCGCCATCTAGACCCAAGTTAAGCTAGCTAAAGCTTGTGTTATGGGTCCTAGACAACTGATACAAATACATAGATAATTTTTTTTTTTCGTAAATACATACATATTATACATAGAAAATACCCAGACCGATACAAACAATCATACTCATGAATACAAATGTTTGTGCCGTGCGAGGAATCGAACCCGCAACCATCGGTTGTAAAGTATGCTAGACCGCTAGACCACCGAGGTCGTCGTAAGAGACCTTATACATCATAAGCTTAAGTCCATTTTAGTTTTCCCTTAGGATTTTTTATTTATACTCTATTACATAGAAAGAATGATACAGAAAACGATGAATTAACTATAACAGAAGAAGATATAATAGTTCCCAAATATCGTTTAGAAAAAGTCAATAGATCTTTTATGTAAAAAAAGGTATAAAAATTTACAAAAGATACCAAAGGATATACTGGAATTACCATTAAATAAATACAAAATAACTGTTAAATCATATTTACTGAGCAAAGTCTATTACTAAACTGACGATTATTACGACTGATTACTTGACTGAGGATCGTACATGGCAATAGTTGTTCATGCACAGGATTTTAATTTAACGTTAGACATAGACACCTATAAATATACATTGCAAATAAACTGGCTTTAAAAACAACTTAATAAATTATTCAATTGTGTTTCTTGCTAGTATTCTCATCATTGGATCTATATACTGAACTGGACGGTAGGGAAAAAAAATAAGTTCATAAGCGGCTAAAATGTTCTACATGATTTTTTTTTTAATTCTTGAATTTATAAAAAAATTTAGAAAAGACGGTTATATTAAAGAGCTATACTTATTTATTTTAATTAAATTTTTTAAATAAATAACTTTGTTTTTTCATGGCGCGCAAGATGATGCTGTATAAAATGTAGAACGCGCTATTAAGTTACCGTGTACAAGGTCTATTATTACAAAAGCCAATTTGTCAGTATTATAATAAAATATTTTAATTGTTTAACTGACTAATATCCCACTACAAATAGCATATACTAACATTAAATTTTGGAGTGAGAGAAACGTGTTTTTTTTATATTTGCTATCAGCTGACAATTTTACATCTTTAATAAGGTTTTACTATGATACATGTTTCCGAGGGTGCTGTGCTTCAACCCACCCTCTATAACTACAGCTGACTCACTACGCTTCATAACACAATTATCTTAACCATCTTATGTGTTTTGGACACGGGGGAAATTGGGCAGCTTGACCTATTCCTGGCTTTCAGGCCATCAATTTTAACACATTTTAAATATCATGTTGTTCATGAAATAATTGTAGCGCCTAATGGTCACGCATTTTGGTAATATTTTATTTGATGTTGCAAATTAGTTATAGGACTATTATAAGAATGCAATTAAATTTTATTTCACTAGTATAATAATAATTTTATTTGGAAGTTCGAGAGAGTCAAGTTCGAGAACTTATGCCATAAATTATATAAAATATTAGTTTCACTATTCATATCATGTACAAATTATTATAAACATATTTGTTTTTAAAAATTACGTATACTCATCATAAAATCTGTATACTTTAATTTTGATGAAAATACTTAGATACTTTAGTTTAACTCATTACGAGTTAAATAGTGATACTAAAGATTCTCAAGTAAGGTTTATTAGAATTTTATTATATGAAACTTTAAAACCACTAAAAACAATGTGAGCATAAATTTATTTCTTAATTAATACTACAGGATTATAGTAATAATGTTGAAAAATATATTTACTAGATCTATATAAATAAACCCCAAATGGTTAAATTGTAACAAACATAGTACAAATTATAAGAAAACCTGTAGCTGAATGAGGGTATATAAAGTTATTGTGACATATACATCAACACATTTGGTCGTCTTGCGATGGCACCTGGAAAATAATTAACATAACATAATTATATAGCAGAAAATATATAAATAAGTATAATAACTAATACTATTTTATATTAACAAACCTACAGTTAACCTGATGGTAAGTTGTAAACATTCCCATTATACATGACCACAAACTCCCATGTGGTGTCATCCTGGATGATCATGATTTCATGCCTCACGTGACCTGTAGTTTTACTGTTATCTGACCCTTCAACCGAAACATCTTGCAAAACAAGCTACGTTTTGGTAATATACATATATAATAATCTTAGGACAATTATTACTAGACCCAATTTAAGCTAACTAGAGCTTGTGTATATAACAAGCTCTATAAATTGTATTCATGAATATGATTTTTTGTAATGGACAAGCAATCATACTCATGAGTACAAATGGTTGTACCGTGCGAGGGATCGAACCCGCGACTATCGGAATTAACGCCGTGTATTAAACCGCCAAACCACAGAATGGTCAAGATTCATTATTACCTGCGCTACTGAATCGTCCAGTCTACTACTAGGGACAGGTAAGGCAGCTAACTGCTCAACAAGGGCCATTGTCATCTCTGACTCAACTATAATTTCTACCCATAGTGTATCTGGAATAAAAAATATAGATATTTATTGTATGAAAATAAAGTTGTGTGTATATTCTGAAATCTGGATAAAATATGTATCTTATTCATCTTGTTAACTATTTATAGTCAAATTTCTGTATCTAAGGTTTTTTATTGCCTACTGGTTAATAAAACTAATAGATAAATACTCAGAAGAAGTCTTTATATTATTCAAAACATATACTCACCCCCTATCTGATCCCCTTTATCATTTACCAAATGAAAATAGCCTCTGTGGGTTCCCGGATTGCTTGGTGCAACTAACTTCATTGTGACTGTCGTAGATTGTCCCGGGGGTAAAGGGGGCACATAAAATGGTGGAGCACCAAAATGCACACCACCTGCTTGTATAACTCTACAGCTGCCAGGCCAAGCTTCTGCCCCTGTATTTGCAATACTCCAATAATGTTCAAAACTAGAACAGAAAATATACAAAATAAATAACTGAACATTACTATTGTAAATTGATTACTCTTAATTTATGTAATTTCAATATCACATAAACTGAAAGTAAGTACCAAGCATAACACATGACACCCTTGGCAACAATAATGCCTTGCCATTTCAATTTAAGATAACTTGTGAGTTACAGATTGGCAAACAATAAATTTATTTTAAAATTTCAGATTAATTCAAAATACTGGAGAAGGTTTGTTGGCTGGACATATTGGACCCCAATATGGCAGAAAATTGGGGACCAACAGGATAAAAATAATGTTTCCGGCTAGTAGACTTACCCGAGATGGGATAAATACCCTATCAATTTTCAAATCATTTCATAATATGTAATTTACCTGCTTCCAGGACCTATAGACGTTTCCTGGTTTTGTGCTGCTTTAAGTGACATAGATGGAAGCTTTGGAGGCAATGTGTAGTCTAGATAACAACAAATAGCAGCTTGTAAGTTCCTGTAAATTTAAAATAATCAGTATTTCAGTGAACAAATTTACTGCACCTTAAATTAATAAATTCTTATAAGTTCATAATTAATATAACAATGCATAAACATAACTTATTGCATTTCAATAACTTAATACTTAAAATATAATTTCCAACCAGCTGTACATAACTTTATCAATTGTTCAATATATAAACAAGTAATAACTTGTTTATATATTAACAACAAGAACAAGGATAATCAAGACTCAAGATAACTGTTTCTGTTTTTCTTAATACAGATTCAATTTATCATTTCAAATCTAAGTAATATGCTTATAATTTCTTACCAATTACTCATATCCAAGAAAAAAGTAGCTGTGTTATGGTTTAAACTTGGTCCAAGTAGTCTTTGCATTTGGCTCACAAGTTCTTCTCTATCAGTCGTATTCATACAACTAAATTGTAAGAGAAGATTTTGATCAATTTCGCCGGGGATAGATGAACCATCAATATCCATAATGCCAGATTTATTAATCAATTACAAAGTACTACACATAAAGTATTTCACAACTTTACAAATTCAACATGCTCTTTGTTTACGTTCGTCAGCTGACTTTTGATACACAACTCTTTTATTTATTGAACGTAAATTATGTAGGATAAAAGAAAGTAAATAAAAATATACAAAATTAATTTATAACAAATAACAAACAAGGAAAATCCATATAGGCAAATTCCATATTTTGGAGTAATAACAAAAACTCAATTCTAGAACTTCGTGTAAATCTGACGATTTGTTTAATCATCTGTCACTGTCAACAAAGTTCAACAAACTACGTAGGTATATGTGCACAGAGTACTTCAAGGTTTAGAATATACCACAGAGTATAGGCCTGAAAAATTGTCCGGGTAAGGTTGAATTAAGTACGTCGATTAAGTCTTGGGACACTATCCATTTATAGAAATTATTGAAATTAAGGTTCTTTCAAATAATATTTTTAAGGGCTTTTCATGAGTGCCTATTAGATCATTACGGATCTGTAAATCTGTCTGTTCTGTGGCGAAAAAAGCACTTGATTGAAGCACAGACTAGGTAGGTAGGAACAGTATTAACAATTTTGAGCAATATTTCTCTATTTTTATTTTATTCATAAAATAATAATTTATATACAAGCATTCCTGCATTATCATATTATAATAAAATGCCTAAATGGATCTAAAATAAAAAAATATATATTTGTTTCATAATATACAAATATTATTAATATTTTCTTAGTTCTGTTTTTAGGTAATCAAAAATAAGAGTCCGTATTAATAAACGAAGTATTATTCCTATTTTCTGTGATTGTATTATATCTATAGGTCGTTGGAATCAAAATTGGCATGAACTCATAAAAATGGAGAATCAACCTAAGAAACTTCATCACTGCACGCATGATGGGTGCAAGGCAGTGTTTAATAGACCATATCGACTTGTACAACATTTACTCGTTCATAACAACATAGTAAGGAGTATTATTTAATATCAATTTTATAACTATAATTTAATATGTCAGGATAATTCACGTAGCACCATTAAAACAACTGATATAAATACATGATACATTTTTTTGTAAATATATATGTATAGAAAACACCCAGACCTATAAAAACAATAATATCCAATTTGTGACCATAAGGTTGTGTGTTAAACTGTTAACTAGCTTTCTGTGATTTATAGTAGTAATATAAATGCCCAGTCTGGATTTGACTATTATGGTATCAAGTGGGCCTATGTTAATAAATGAATATTATGAATAGCCACTTATACTAACTATCCCATTCCTGCCCAATTAATATTGGCTACTGTACTTTATTTACTAATAATAAATAATTATAATATTGCTGCTTACAGTGTTACATTTTTTATAATTTTTGTTTGAATGTTTTTAATAAGATTTTTAATATACACAACATTGTTTTTAGTATACATAGAGTCTAATAGTGTTATATATACAATTTTTACATAATACTTTTTTTTCAGAGAATTTATGTGTGTGAGGAAAGCAATTGTTCTAAGTCATATACCAGTAGAAGCCATTTAGACCGTCATATAAATAATGTGCATAAAAATCCTGAAAAGGATATGCTGTACAGGTAAGTAAATTTACAATTAAATTATTTACAGTTGTAATTCCTGTACAAAAGTTACTCTACTTTAGGTAGTCATGGCAAATGTAATCATATACATATTAGTATAGTACATAGTACAGCCCCTAGAAATAAAAATATATTCTCCACTGGAATGCCAGATAAGCAGAATGATATCCTTGTTTCTGTCATTTTGTAAAGTGTATTGCTTGAGAAGGATGTGTACATTAATAATTGTAAAATTCCTCATGACTAAGGGATGTGAATACTGTTAGACACTACCACAGCACCAAAGGTTTAATCTTGGGGACAATTAATATTATTATTGTTTCATTTCAGTTGTCCAACATGTTTTAAGAGTTATGCAAACCGCCAGAATTTGAAGAGACATATAAAGATACACCACAAATTGAAGGTGCCATTTACTTGCGATGTTTGCAAAGCAGAATTTAAAAAGAAAAACCAGTTAAGCGCTCATATGTACGTACATACTGGCTTGAAATCATTTAGGTAAATATAGAAGAGAAAAAGATTAAACAGTATTTATAAAGTAACAATTTATATTTTACGTAATAATTCATGATATTTTTGTCCTGTCTTAAAATATTTTTGATTTTTCAGGTGTGATGTGTGTTCTAAAGAATTTGTAAGTCTCTATGAGAAAAAAAAGCATTCTAGACGACACAAAACTTATGAATGTACCAAATGTCATGTCCAGTTTGATACTTGGTCTAAGTATCAGAAACACAATAAAATCGATCATGCTACTAAAGGTAGGTTCTTTTTAGGTGAAATTTCTTTTCTGTGGTGATGTAGTAAGAATCCACTAATGTCAAACCAGTGGCCTCACTGCTAGCAATGTAACTTACCAGGTCGACTTCAACACAGCCAATGCTCAGGTGAGAGATTACTGGCCATGCTGTATAGGTACAGGGTAGGTATCTATTCCACAGTACAGACATATATATTGCTTTTATTATCACAAGTAGGATTACTAAAAATACCTATCACAATTTTCATTAAATATCTAAACTTTTATAATGTATATTTTTTATTAAAAGGTAATTCTAAGAACTGTTTCAATAATGAAATATCCTTCCAGCATATATATATAGTTTAGTGCTGTGAAGGTAATTCAATTATACTATATTTTTTGCATGGTAAGTCTTCCAGAAATCTGGTTAATTACTTTTTACTACCATTACTCAAGCATTATTTATTACTCATTGATTAGTACATAATAGTGCATAATAAAAACAATTTCTTGCTGTGTATTCATAATTGTACTTTTTGTTTCAGAATTTATTTGTAATGAATGTGGCAGAAGTTTTAAGCAAAGGGGTCACATAGTGCGCCATGTCAAGATTCATTCAAAAACAACATTAGAGCCCAAAAAACATGTATGTCCTTATGAAAATTGTCAGAGGTATTATTAAATAGTAAAATATCAAATTACTTAAATATTTATTAATGCTTGATAACACAGTTTATTTTGCATTTTGACTTCAACAATGTGATATTTTTATATACCATATATATATATATATATATATATATATATATATATATATATGTATTTACTTATATAAACCTTACTTTTATTTTATTTAATCTGCAGGTGGTATACAAGAAATAGTAATTTGAAGCAGCATATTTTAATAAAACATTTGAGAGTTACCCACAAATGTGACATCTGCCAAGCTCAGTTATCAACTAAGGTATGTCAAAATAATTATTGGGCTAAAAAATGTATGGTCCCTACTGATAAATCAATGGTAGCTTTTATACTTTGATGTTAGTTTTCCAAGACAAGATACTGCACATATTAAAACTATATTTTAATAATGTACATACAGCAGAAGTAAACACAGTAGTAGTACCTAATGTAGGCAAAATAACCTCATCTTCCAAACCATAACAAAATTGTATTGAATTGTAATAAAACCTAATATATAAATATATATTTTCCATTAATAAGGGAATATCAAATCAATATTATATTATAAGTATTAGAAATCAATCGGCAATAAATGAATTTATTATTATTATTTGTAAGTGCAAATCTCATCTGAAAGTGACATTAATAGTCTATATAGAAAATGTTAGTAATTGATGATTATTTAACCCTTTTCTTATACTGCGCCCTTAAATGTTAACTTTAAAGAAAATGCCAGTTTGTTTAGTTTTGGTAAGCTGTTAACTTATCATTATGATTATATATATTATTTTTATTTCTTTTTACAGGCAAAATTAGATTACCATATTAAACTTCATGACCAACCTCCAAAAGTGAGACAACCAAAAACGAAAGCTACAGGACGCAAAGAGAGAAAAGACAAAGGCATTCCAAAAGGATCAACAGCTTTGAAATTAGCTGGAATATCGGAAAATCCAACAAATGAGGAAAATACTAGTTCAATGTTACTTGAAATGTCTGCTGGGGTTGAATGTGTTTATGGTTAGCAATAAAATATAAAAACGTTATTTTCGTTTAAATAATAGTTATATTGACCTTTATTATTAGAAATTTTAACATAATTATAACGCTGTTTCCTACATTATTAAGACATTAGTATTAATAGAAAGTTAAATGAATTAGTATTAATATACCGAAAATTAAAATTTATGGACACACTACTGATCAAATTAAAATAAAGGTACCAAAATCAAATCAATCAAAGGTGATCAAATTAAATTTAGTGGTTAACTGTTCAATAATTTCAAATAAGGAAAATTGTCACTATCCTTTCTATACTGATAAATGTGCGACAAGGTCAGAATTCCTTATTGCCAAGTCTCAAGAATTTTTGTGAACACACTCTCTCGAAATTTGGATACATCGCAATTATAAATTAATTCATTTCAACTTAAGAACAATAGATATTACGTATTTCTTTTGGCAAGTGATTTATTATTAATTTATAATAAGAAAAATAAACTCTTTCTACGATAGTCTTTCAACTGCACAGAGTACTTTGACAAAGAGTATACGTCAAAGTGACATATTAAAGTTTGTCAATTCGCTATTGTCTGTGGATTGGAAGTTTATAACAAGTTGTCTACATTTTCAACTCATCAATCCATATTTACAGACGGTTCTAAAAACGAATCGAGAACATCCTTTGCTCTATACTTACCAAGTATCAGAACCGGTCATGGAACTAGAATACATAAAGAATTTAGTATTTTTTCAGCAGAATCTTTGACTATTTTAAATGCACTTTGTTATATAAAAGATGATAGGGGCAATTGCAAAAAATGGTTAATTGTCACAGACAGTATGAGTGTTTTAACTGCTCTTCAAAGTAACAAACTACATTATAAAACCAATTATATCATAGATAGCATTAAGCAAATATTATATGAGCTCTCATTGGAGTGTTATGATATTATTTTATTATGGACACCATCACATATTGGTGTTTTCGGTAATGAAAACGCAGATTTCCTGGCAAGAACTATCACCAACAATGACATTGGCGTTGTCAAGGATGTTGCCATACCTTATTCCGACATTCTTTCTATAGTTTACAAGAGTTTTCGTCAAAAATGGATTGAACAGTGGCAACTTTCGCTAAAGACCAAGGGTAATTGGTTTTACTCCATTAACAAAAATATTCATTCCTCACCCTGGTTCACTAAATCTAGAGTTTATAAAAACCGGAAATTTTACACACTCCTTATACGACTTCGTTTTGGTCACGCTAGATTCAATAGTCATTTGTGCCGAATGAAAATAATTGATTCAAATGCATGCCAAGAGTGCAATAACAGCAGTCAGACCCTAAATCACATATTTTTCGAATGTTCCGCTTATAATATTCAACGCTTGGTCTTTATTGATAATTTACTGAACATTTACAAGAAACCGGAAAAAATCCCGCGCGACATCCAAGACATGTTAACTAATTTTGAAACATATATACCTATATATTTATACGTTACCTCGATATCGATGAAACTTTAAATAATTGATACAAGGATATGGACTACGGATAAGACTTAAATTTTGAACACGAATGAAAACATAATAAATAAATATACATAAGAATTGGCCTTTGGCCTCATCACTTGTTCAAATATGAAGAAGTTTAAAAGTAGACTAGGCTGTACGGTCTAAGGATCTTTGCCTGTTCCATCACTGAAAAGGAGATGGACGAATATGGAAAAAAAAAAAAAAAATGTCTGTGGATTGTCCTATATATATTTTATTTATCATTCATCACCAAGGAACATAATACTATAAAGAATTCATCACAGTTCTAGATATACCAGTATTATCATGTTTCTTGACATATACTAAAAATAGAGGCTATATTTTGATATTATTAATTATTTATGCAAAATGAGCTTTACATTAAATATTTTCACATTAAATTGTTGGTACGTTTACCTTACGTATACTTTATCAATTTACCTTTTTATATTTTTCCTTTATCCATGCGAATAACAGTGGAAATAATTCTACGTATTATTAATCTAATTTTAGGGGTATTCCAGTGGTATCGAAAAATCGACAGGAGCGCATGGAAGCAATTGGCAAATATCTTCAATCTAGTTCTCATAACATTGTTTGTTTGCAAGAAGTTTGGAGTGAAAATGATTATTTAATTTTTAAAAAAACTTTAAAAACTGTCCTTCCATATTCACACTATTTTTACAGGTACTATTTCTTATTTTACTAGAAATAAGGTAGTTTGGATACTAGCACTATGTATTTTATAACAATTATAACGCATAGTAAACAAAACCAAAAAACTATGTTAGAAAGTACATTACAATGACAGTTCATTGAGCAATTTCGTACATACATCCTGAATGATCCTATTGTAGTACATAAAAAAAGAAAAATTGCTGAATAATGTGATTACTTATATGTAGGTCTTATTTTAATAAGATCTGGTTTTCATCTTATTTGTGGCCAATAGCTATGAACAAAGGAGTTGTTAATAAACTTAAGGAGGTATTAAAAACATTATAAAGTTATTAAAAAAACTAATCTGGTGTAGTTACAAAACAGATTGAAAGTGGAAACTAATTGATAGTTTCCATTTATAAAATGTACCTGTGTGACTTGAACTTTTATTACATTAATATTCATGCATTAAAACTTATATTTCCTTAAATAAATAATATGCAATATGTTAATATACAAAGGTAGAGTGATGTTTATTTTATTTTTTGTATTTTTTCTTTATTTCTACAGTACTGCAAACTGTATTTACTATGTCTAATGACTCTGTATACATATATGTACAAAATATTATATCTAATAATCAATTAACTAAAATAATTCTATTTTTACATTATCTCCCTCACTTAGATTCTTCATTTAAGTAGTACAAAACTTCATGACATAGTGTATAAAAATGGTAAATAATATAATCAATGAACTTTTTTTAGTGGTGTAATGGGTTCAGGATTATGTGTGTTTTCCAAATGGTTGATACAGGATGTATTTTTCCATCAATGGCCACTCAATGGTTATATACATAAAATCCAACATGGTGACTGGTTTGGTGGTAAAGGAGTTGGTCTGTGTAGAGTAAGATGCAATGACAAGCTGATTAATATCTATTGCACTCATGTGAGTACAAAAAAATAAACTTTTTAATTATACTAATGCCTAAGTAATGAGTTGGGTAGGCATTTGTATAAAATTATAATAATTATATTATTTAAGTTATAATCATTATTTTGTTATAAAATTTGCCTGTCTCATAAATAATTATTATAATTTTACTATTACATGGCCAATCTACAGCTGATTCTAGTATACTCATGGTCACAATCATTAACTGTCTATTTAATGTTTTATTAATTAACATTTTCTTGGATATCGTCCATATTTGTTGGAACATTAATTGCAGTTACATGCAGAGTACCATGAGGATGACATGTACCTAGCACATAGAGTACTGCAAGCATACTCAACTGCTGAATTTGTAAATTTGACTACTTCGCCAGCTGATATCTCCATACTTGCAGGGGATTTGAACACTGGACCTGGAGATTTGTCTTATAGGTAAAATAAATTACTTTAGCAGGTAATTAACATATCACTTATAAAAATGTCACTGGAATGACAAATAAACAGAGGACCCATATGTTGGCAAGTATTAACCATCGTGACATCATCATGTTGTCATTCCACAAGACTAAGGTGTTATGCCTCCATACATAGCTTACAAAGGAAGTGAAACACAGGCTGTGCTATTTTTACCTCTGGTTTTGAATTTTGTTTGTAATAAGTATTCTTTTATTATACAACAATATGTTTGAATTTTCTAAAAGTTTTAGTAAAGGTTTGTAACTCTTACTATTTCAGAATAATTACACAGTTACCGCAACTCCTTGATCCCTTTGATATGAAATGTGAAGGAAGCAATCCTGCCATCAATAAGCCTTCAGGAACATGTGATGTTGCCAACAATAGTTACAGCAATCAAAAACAAATAAAAGAATGTCCAGAAGGAAAGAGAATAGATCATATTTTGTTTCATGTGAATTCTGCATTGGAGGTAATTTTATATACTTTTAAACCTCTAACTTCTCACTCTTCTATTCTGAAACAATCCATTGTAAAAACATTCCCAATAGAAGTTTAAAATTCTGATACAAATATCTGTCTGCCACTGGAAGAAGGACATTGTTAATAATCCATTATTAACAATGTCCTTCTTCCAGTGTATATAGTATAATACAGACTAATGGGGCACTAATCTCCAGATTAGTGCCCCATTAGTCTGTATTATATTGGTTCAACTTCTATGCAACCTATATTGTCCTAGAAACCAAAGAGTTTAATGCAATGTGAATTCATCATCACCCTCTACTGTTATGCCATGGACACAGGCCTGTACAGAATTCCTTTATCACACATTAAAATATGTATGCAACATATATATTTTTAATTCTCCTTTACAGGCTGAAATAATAAATTTTGGGAATCCTTTGGAAGACAGAGTACCCAATCAGCCATTTTCATACTCAGACCACAATGCTGTCTCTTTGGAGATATGTTTAAAACCTGTTAAGGATGCGAAAATAGGTGAAAGACAGTACAGTATAAATGGTTCGTTTGATACGACTGTGGCACAAACTATCAAAGTTTGTCAAGAAGCAACTGAAACCATAACAAGATCAAAGAAACTGTTTCTTACATCCGGCGGTTTGCTGTTTATGTTTCTGATAGGAACTGTAGGATTTTGGCCAAATAATGTGTTTTATGATGTAATTAAAATTGTATTAACTGGCTTTTGTTTCTACTATCTACTAATGGGTACATTATGGAATAAAATAGAAATGAATAGTCTCAAAGCTGGACTTAGTGCTCTAGAAAATTTCAGTAGGACAAGAATAGAGCCCATCAAAGAATAAAATGAGATACAATTGTTTTCACATACTAATAAAATGGTCAGAATTCAAGTACGTAAGCTATGTCTACGAATTTTATACGCTTGTAATATACTTGAATTCTGGATTGCTTTCCTGTACAAACAGGATACATGTAAATTGTAGGCTTAATTTGCTCAGTGGATAGACCAACATATGTGGAACAACAAGGCTGTGCTTATTGTAAAATTGCCTTAGCTTATAAGACATAACATATCATTTATAATGTTTATACTACATTACAGTTTCATCCTGTTTAAATGAGTTAATAGTAACTTTTTCGTACTACCCTAACGTTACTTATAGCTAGTAACAATTGATTTATGAATGTATCAACTATAAAAATATACATTCCTTTTTAATAAATTTTTATAATTATAAGTATAGTAAATTACAAATAAATGTAATTATTGCTTTTTAATTATTCAATAGGTCAAATAAATAAGCAGTTGTTTATAGACTATCTTTATATTTACTTTGTAATCAGTATTGTAGTTTTAACTATCTCTTTTGTGTCGTAAACTTGAGATGATACAAATTCAAAATATCTTTATTCATGTAGGTCTATTACAGACTCTTATGATATGTGAAATCTACCGTCAGTTAGGAATTATTTCGAGATGAGAAGAACAGTCCCATATAATAAATACTAAATGAACCCCAGTAGACATAATTATGATAATTTAATTATATAGTTTTGTTATGTACTTGAATGATTTCAAGTTATTATTAGTTGCTACAAAAAAGGAGAAGTGCACCATTTCTTTAACAAAGTTATTTTACTGCAGTATAAAAAATATTTTAGTGTGATGTCCATATTTCCACGATTGTTTACAGCTCGTATATCTATACAGCTTTATATCATATAAATATATTGTTAGTTGTAGTATCAATAGGGTCTAAGAACAAAACTGAAGAATCAAGGACAATAAAAAGTATATAAAAATATATGTAATTTTTATTTCTAAACTTAACAGACCTTTACAATACCTTCTTGGTAATATAAAATAATATCACATTAATAAAATATATACAATATTTTATAGTCATTTATTATATACATTTTTATAAGTACTAGATCATGGATACAATTTTAATATAACTTTACATTGGTACACAATAATTAATATTTAAATTATCCTATTACTAAATTACAATATTAATAAATTTAATAGCACGTAACATACTTTGGTAGTAAGTAGTTATAATGTGTACTTTAGGTTTTATTTAAAGTGTGTTAAGTACAACACGATTTGGCATTTCTTTACATATTCCAAGTGAACCAGTAGAGGCCCTGTCAAACATGTGCAATATCAACTTGTCCACGGGCATTTAGGACTCATAGGTTATCAGTTATGCATTTAAAATAAAATAATTCATTACAACTCAGATTCCATCAATATAAAAATATATACTAATAAAACTATGCATAAGCGAAAAAGTTCATTTATTTATTTTTTTCGTAATAAATGCAATGACTGATAATCCGAACTCAATATAAACAGCTGAGGCTTATGAAAACAGGATATCTTTATGTGATATAATCCATAAGGATAATATGGCATAAAGACGCGTTTTAATATTTTCAGTGATTCAATATTCTTTAAATTATTTCATCAGTAACTAACACAATAATCTGTATTTTCTTCTTAGATAAGTAATGTACGGTAATATACAAAAAATTGCAATAAATTTTGAAGTGCTTAGTAATTTTATCATATGCTTCTTACGTAAGGTACTTGCGTGAGTAAAACTTACATGTGTAAAGACGGGTAAAGCAGATATCATATTTATACAGAATGTATAGTAATAAATACATAAATAACAAAATTGAAATATTAATAATAATAAAAACATTGAAAATTATTTAAGTGCAATTTTTTAATACCAACTGATTCTTTAATTGCTTGTGAAAATCAATATATAATGCAGGCATTAGGGGTTTTCAGTATCAATGTTGTGATGTTATCAAATTGTATATATGTAATTAGTTATCACTAGTTAAAATCACATACCTTTACTAATTACAACCATCGATACAGTGATGATTACAACAATAATTTTAATCTGCTGCAAAGCAAGTTAGGAAAATAAATTATTGTTAATTAAAAAAGAAAAATATTGTACAACAAGGAATGTATGTACAGTTACATACTAAATAGATCTTAATCTTGTAGTCATAAGTGCCAATAAGCAAAAGAAGCCAATTGTCACAATATCACATCACATAAAATATATCGTTACTTCATACTTTTGGGTTGTCATCAGATAATTGCTCGTCAGAAACATGAAGTAGTGGTTCACTTTCAGAATTCGTTGAGTCCGCTGTTAGGGAGGTGTGTATAGAACCATACGTGGTTGGCCTCACCTCAACAGGTGGAGGTTCTGCATTAACTGACAGGTTGGGAGCAGAACTAGAGGCAGCCTCCTCACTCACAAGTCTTGAACTTTCGTCATACCCCCGCGCCATGTGATACATGGATTTCCCCCTGAGTCTTCTACTGAATGAGCTCCCTGTTAATAAAAAATAAGGTATGAGAATTTCATCTACAAAATTTTTCTTTGAATACGGAAACCATATCCGATACTACTTAAAAATATGATTTCTGTAAATAATTGCAAAATAGTAATTACACTTTCGTAGTTGCTTACACAATTAAATACAGACAAAAAACTATGTTTGGTCAACAATCAATTTTCTAAAATCCATTGTAATAATAACTGGTAAACTCATCATGATGTGTTAACTGATTGATCACTGTATTTATGCTCATTCTATCTTCTACTAACCCTTCCAGTGTATATTATTATAGCACAGGTGTATACCTGTGCTATAATAATAATAATAATAATAAAAAAAGAAAAACCTCAAGACAATATACACAGCACCCTCTAGACCCACATTAAGCTAGATAAAACTTGTGTTATGGGAATTAGATATCTGATACAAGTACATAGATATTTTTTTTAGTAAATACATACTTATTATACATAGAAAACACCCAGATTGAAACAAACAAACATACTAATGAATACAAAAGTTTATGCCATGCGAGGAATCAAACCCGCGACCATCGGAAGTAAGGCGGTATGCTAAACCGCTAGACCACCGAGGCTTGAGGGCCTCCTTTATCATAGAATGATTCATCAATACATCGCATTTAGATGTCTGTTAATAACATACCAACTACACCCAGATGCTCAGATATATCCCTCTTAACATCGGATACGTCCCACATGGCTAAGAAGGAACCGAGACACGATGGAGATTGGTCTTGTTGCGATATGAACTCCTTGTACGAGAAACTATAGTGGTGGGCGATAGCTGCCAAGAACATCTCGATGCAGATGAGAAAATCCTGGAACACAAGTTTAAAAAAATAATATTTTTGTTCACATAGCTAGCAAATGCAACCTCTTTTTTATATTCGCCTGATTATAAAGAAGAGGTTGCAATTACTGGATTTTTGTATAATCCTTGTTCAATATAATGCAATATGTCAATTAAGGGCTATCCATAATACATACAATATCTGTATAGAGAATGAGTAATATAAGCCATAAATTATTAGATATATTTTTGAGACAACAATTCTTATTGTAAACCATAGCTTAACACATTCTGATTAAGTAATTCTTATCTACATCAAAATTTTAAGTTTTTACCTGTAGCTTTGATGATATAATTTTTATCTTGTCTTGTTCAGATATATCAAATATTGTTGATATTACTCCACAATATACCAGAATGTTAATAATGACACCTTGGCTGTAAAGAATTAACAAAGTTAGTAGTCATATGTGTATATTACATAATATGGGGCATGACATCTTAATCCTCAGGAATGACAACCCACGAGTGGTATCCCAGGTGTCACATGATAATGTGATATCGGTAGTGCCGTTCCTGTATACTATAGGAGATGGTTACCGCCTTATCATCGGCGGGCCGTCAGCATGTTAACTATTCCGATTACATAGAAAAAAAGAATAATATGTGAAATAGAAAGTAAAAATGGTCAATAGTCTACAAAACAAGTCGTGAAGTAAGTAGATTATTGTAAAAATCTTTTATATGTATTATGATATAAAACCACTTACAAAAATGAAAAGAAGACAACAGCTTTTATACAAAGAAATTTTCCAATTGGTTTAATTGGCTTTAGTTCAGTTCTATTAGCTCTGTAAAAGAGAACCAAACAATACATCGCCACAAACTGTGAGAGATTGTTCACAGCTATCATGTATGGAAATGCAACCTTAGGGCTGAAATCACTCTCCCCATATACTCCACTTAACTCGCATATCATTGATATAACTGTAGTTATAGGTCTTACTACTGTATATTGGAGGATACCATGTTTACAGTTATGTATGAATTCGCTGAAATTCAAATACAATAAAATAAATTATTTATCGAATGCTTTTTGCCCACTTAAACTTTTTGTAAAATAACTGCCATTAAACTGTTAGAAGAAATTGATATTATATTTTAATCCACTACTTCGAACTCCCCTGCAAAAAACAGTAAAAATAGAATATACATAATGGTATGTCTACAATCAATGCATTGTCAACTAACAATATTCTTTATGAAGGTGTTACTACATTTTGTCAAGAATATTTATTTATTTATATACATACTCTTTATTGCACCAGGAAAATTACATTAATAAAATTAATAGAGTAATTAAAATTAAGAGGGTACAAAAGGCGCCTTATCACTTATGCAATCTCTTCCAGGCAACCTTTGGGTAGATGAGACAAGACAAAAGGTGGGAGGTGGCACTACAATAGAAGAGAAAAAACATAATAATAATAATAGAATATATTAATTTTAATGAGTCATGAGACCTACCACATCTCATTAATTAATTATGTTTAAATCAATGTTTCCATCAACAAATGTTAGAAATAAATTTAATAAACCTGAACTTACGACCTATGCATAAAATGACGTAAGATATTGTTGTCACACACTGACGTCAGACATTTTGCACAGAAAAATTTAGTGTAAACATGTTAACAAAACAAAACAATTTATGTCGTAATCTTATGTTTATACAGAAGAAGTTGGTAATATATTATCTTTTCATTAATAGTCTGTTAAACATATTTTAATATATATATACACTCACCTCAACAAAAGGGCCAACAAAGTGTGACATTGTGTGACCAACTTGTCACACTATGTTTTTCCCTTTAATGTGTGACCTATATTATGACTGACATTACCTATTTGTATAATAAGAAATATTTCTTCAGAATATTTATTTAATTTATTATAGTAATATGATTGGACACTGAAATACTTACCTACCCATCTCCCATGGTGTTAAACAACATAAGGGAAATATGTGATACACCTGTGGCTTGCTCTCTAATATAGCTTCTAAGTCTTGTCCATCATTTAGATAGTTCAACAAATATTTCATAAAGTTGTAAATCACATATGCCTCATAGCATTCTCTAAGAGAGTCCATATAAATTGACTGCTCTGGAAACTCTAGACCAATCCATGCATTGAGAGCATATATAGGCACCATCCATAGTATTCTGTGGATGAAAGTAAATAAATTATATGAATATTGTAGGTTTTTTTCATGTCTGCCTAAATCCATATATTATATCTCAGTGTTTTATATTTTTTGGAAATAATTCAATTAATCATTTGAATCAATAGGTAGTCTGTAAGTAGTTTTCATAATATATTGCATACATTTCTACAGCACGATAATTTTTTAGTTCACTTTCACAACTATAAAACTAATCTATATTTGTAAAATAGTACAAAATATTTTTACAGACTTTAATGTTGTCAATTTTAGATAAAGACATTGAACAAGAAAATATCTCAATTTTTTAAGTAGTACAGTAAAAATGTCTAATAGTATAAACATATTACTTAAATAAAAAAGAAATTCATGATTTTATATAAAAGTGGCACAATCTTATATCTTTTTATATTGTATTATATCTTTATATATTGTACACTAGTGTAATAGTAACACTTATTGAACACTAAATTTAATAGTTCCAGTTGTTATTATGTACTATAATAATAAAGTCAAGTAGTATGAAATATTTTATTAAGGACTGCTTCTGTGATCTAGCAGTTTACCATAAAGCTTTACTTTTAATGGTATCTGATTTGATTTATTGTAAGATGCAAATAGTTGTATTCATGACTATAAGTGTTTGTATCATTCTGGGTGTGTTGTACTCTATAATACATGCTTTGCTTAGCTTAGATTAGGAATAGATGGTGCTGTTTGAATTATACTGGTATATTATTATTATTTCGAATCTTTATGAAACAAGCTTGACACAAAGTGCTAGAATAAACTAATATACACATTGAAGTTAACAAAATTGGATAAAATATGCACAAACTGACAAGAGCCAAAATGAAATATATGATATTTAGTAATCACCACCACACATTAGACTGTTTATTATTAATAGATATATGTATAAAGTGAAGTATACCTATTACATTAGTCTTAATTTCTTCTTCATACTTACATATATTTACTGATCAATATATAAAAGATAAAAAAGAATGTATGTTCATAAACAAAAAGTAATATCAATATTAATAGTATCTAATTATTATATGTTGCTATTTCAGCTATGGTACTCACCTTATAATATGTTTCTGTAATGAAGGCTTAGTATAATGGAATATATGTTGAGTAATCTGCCATATAGATATAGGTAGAGCAAGGAGGACAAATCCTCCCGCGATGAGAGCTCCCTGGTCAGACTTTCTAAAGCCATTTTTTATTGAATGAGCTACAAGTATGGGCACCAATACAACAACTAATATAGCATAAAGCGCAATTACAAATGGTCTAATCCACAATCTCCACTGGCTAAAGAATGTTATTATATGAGATGAACACATTTTCGAGGTTGTATGACACAGCACAGTTAATATTTGTTGTAATTCTGCTGCATCGTAGTACGTAGAATTTTTTTATATCCAAACAAGAATAGAATATTTCATAAATAAAATAAAATAAAATATTTTCTAAATTGTTGACTTTATTGACGTTGTTGACATTGACAGTATATTTTTTTTGGTTCGGTTTTTCCCTTTATAGGGAAAGGCAAAAGAACTCAGCTCATACAGCCAATTGACAGTATATTTTTTAGTTTTTACATTGACAGTTATTTTTTTATTATTATGTAGGATTACGGTCGTGGTAATTATCTTTTAGCCTAACAATTAAATTGACAGTTCTCAGACAAGTGCACATAAAATTCAATATAGTGCTAAATCCGAAATCCGTGACTGAATTGTTTTTTTTTATACAATGCCTTTTTATTCTTTTTACATTAGCTCTTAGTCGCAATTTCGTCTGCATACATTTTCATTAAAGGTAGTCTATATTTGTCCATGTAATACCAAATTACATTAGGATCTAAGCTAATACTTCAGGCCTGCGCAATAAAGTTCCTCGTTCGAAAAAATACTACTCCCAAATCGATGGCTAATTGAAAGAATTTGTTATAGGTTCAATGTTGGCTGAATTCGGCAGTATATGATTGTGAGAAAAATCGAGTGGCTAAAATTAGATCTAAAGGTCTTCTTTAAAAGAAGAATCTTGTTCAATTCAACCCCAAGAAGACACTCGTGTCTCCTCAGATTCAAGACACTCTCTTTGACATATCCAGTAACGTTCCTTGACGGCCTCTAAAAAATTAGGTGTGCTCAGTAAGGTGGTATTGATATACCACCTTACTGAGCACACCTAATTTTTTAGAGGTGATCGATGGCCTATTGATTTCAATTATACAACGAAGGTATCTAACCGCATATGGAATACTGTTTTCATTTGAGCGGGAGCACCACTGTACCAGCTACTTCCATTTGACCGCATTCAGAATTCATTGGTAATCAATAATCAATGTCTTTTTGACAGACTAGACCCATTGGCCCTGCAGCGAGATATTGCATCCCCGTACATTTTATCACGGCAAGTGTTCTGAGGAATTGTTCAGATTCATACCAGCTGCTAAGTTTCACCACCGTACCACCCGCTAAAAACTAAAGTACTGTCTTTACCATATGAATGAAGGACGGTTCCAGAATATGTGTGGGTTTATAGAAACTTTGTGCCATGCGATTAATATATATATATATAATAGACGCAATGGTATTTCCGAACGGATACGATATTGAAACCTTTAAGAAAAGAGCTTATTCCGTCTAAAAAGGCAACACACTTGCAAATCCTCTGGTGTTGCAGGTGTTTATGGGCGGCGATAATCACTTCATCACCAATCAATCATTCCATCAGCAGCATCAGCATCAGGTGAGCTGGTGAGCAGCAAGCTCGTTTGTCGGATATTCTTATATAGCTAATGTTGTATATAAACTTTTAAATATAAACTAAATTACTGTAAATTTACATCGAAATTCGTTCAAATCGTTTTGTGTGACAGAGCCACAAATATCCGTGCAGCAACAACAGATCCATCCATACATCTTTATAAGCTAAACTTATTGGATCATAATTATTACGAAGTTGCATTATGTGAAATAGTAAAAGTATGTTATTATATTTTTGTTTAAAAAATGTTAAGAAATATAACTTTATTATTGAAATATAAAGCTTTAGTCTTATATCAAACAATATTCCGATATCTGTAATCTGTAGTTTAAACATGGTTTTAGTTGTAGGGTACTTTTATTCACAGTAAGTACTGAAATTTATTTGTGTGATCTTCTAGTATATAAATAACATTATCGTTTATCATCCCTTTAATATCCGAACAAACAACAAGAAAAAGAGACATTATAGAAAATCATATGAGAGTAAAAGAGAGAAATCTCAGTCAAATGATGTCTTCAGGTGTCTATTGTGTTGCTATATAAAAAAAAAAATCAAAAGAAATCACTCTCGGGTTTACAGGTGTATGGTTTTTTTACAAAATGGGTTTTTTGGTTAATAGTTTATAATTTTATTTAGTATCAATAAATATTAACAATATTAAGTGTTAACGTATTACAAATTCTATAAAAGTTAAGTTATTAGTGAGGTTCTCGAAATTGTGTATTTACAGTTAGACGTGTAACACGTATTTTGTGCATCGAGTTCAGCATTGAATTAGGCCACATAGCGATCTCTCCCTAAAATACCGCTGTTCGGGTTGTCGACGTATCAACCTAGTGTAAGTTTGTAATATAGTGACGCGTTATTAAATTATCTTTAAGCTATACTTGATCTAAAAGGGATATACATTGGATGTAATAGATAACGTTTATAAATAGTATATCGCTAGTCGATAATTCATATGTTTTCGTAAATGGGTCACCTCGCCATTCTTCCGAGATTCTAATTGTTTTGTGTTTATTACACTCTGGGATAATATTAAATGTTATTGCTTTAGCGTTACTGTGTGTTTAGCTATATCAGTGTTTACGTTTTCAATAGTTTCGGGAGGCGGGAGAGTGATGTTGAGACGGATAGCGAGCTGGTAATGTGATGTCATCAAAAGGGGAAACAGAGGCCGATTCTGGCACCGTGTCGCCAAATTTACCTACAATCAAAAATGAACCGGTAAATATACCTATACTTTATAATCATATTCATGTTTCTTAAATTTAGAACATTAACACATTTTCTTTTTATAAAAAAAATGTATGGAACAATCAGATTCAGCATTTTTTTTGCTTTGGTAAATCTATATTAGGTTAGGATAATAAAGCTAATGTACATACATATTTTCTCTACTAATCTGGAATGCATTTTGTTATGACCTTGTACAATATCATATATTCAGTACTTAAAATATTTTAAATTGGTATATTGATATCGGCAATGTATAATATATAACAACTCAATATACATATATCCAGAATTATTGTATAATATTGAACATTATGTTAAATACAAGAAAAATAAGACAATAAAAAGAAATAACTGTGACAAAAACATTAATAAAAACTATAAATTTTTAAAATAATATATATATATATATATAAATACACCATTGTATGTGTAAAAAATATATAATAGGTATTGAAAGACTTGATTATAATAGGGAATAGTCACTGAGGTAATCTGAGTAGGTAATTGATTCAGTAAATAATCAACATTCTAATTATTTTAGAGATAGTCTTATAACTTTCAGTGTAAAATCAATTTGTTTAATAGTTCTCCCTATTAAGATATCTTCACAAATTAACATCTGTCTAGTGAAAAAAAAGGTTATCTTACAAGATATCTAAGCTCAAAAATTATTAAAGTGCTATACTTTTATTGTTTATAACTACCATCACAATGGGATTGATTCTATTAGAATTTAGAAACAACTGATAAATATTGTTTTCTTGTGTCATTTTTGTAAAACTTTAACTTATATGTCTATATAATAAATCTAATAATTTAATTATGTAGGTCCAACATCTTTAGTTCATTTTAAAGATCGTTTTGTTACATTAATAAAAAATTATAGTATATTTTTTTTCATTATATATTATATATTATATGACTAAAAAGCAGAAAGTGAAAAACATTAGTCTGTTTCAGCAACTTTTATTTGATTATATTTATTATTATTATTTAATGTTATTTGTTATTGTAAATATCATTATATTCAGAAATTTTGTTACTTCATCTAGCATAGCCTGTGTCTATATTTTGATATAATCTGTCTTCATGTTGAATTTCACTAAGACCTATTTAACCTTTGAAAGTAACGAACAGACAAACAGACCCACTTACCACATTCATTTTATAATACTAGCATGAATAATAACATGCATTATATGTAGAAATGTTAAGCATTCATTTGTAAGTTTATAAATAATATTTAATAATTTATTTACTTAACAAATGGAATAATTATTGTTATATTTTCAACTTAGGTTTTTGTAATAATTTTCTTGTGGTCTATATTATGTTTATTTTTTTAATAATTTTGGTTCTAGTTGCTCATATCACATTTTTGTTGTTTGGCTCTCTTTTCTAACATTCTAATTTCTTGCAATTTTTAGGTAGCTACAGCTAGCAGCAAGGAAACTCCGAAAAGAGGTGGTACTTTATTAAAATGTACCACATGCAACAGTTTTAGTACATTAAGTAGTCGGGCTTTAACAACACACATGGCGCAGTGTTCGCCAGACAATAACAATGTGGCGGCAGCACAAAACGCGGACGCCCGTCCGCACAGAAAACTATTTGAATGTGATGTGTGTAATATGAAATTTTCAAATGGCGCTAACATGCGTCGACATAAAATGCGGCATACAGGTGTCAAACCTTATGAATGCCGAGTATGTCAAAAAAGATTCTTCAGAAAGGACCATCTTGCTGAGCATTTCACAACACACACAAAGAGCTTGCCGTACCACTGTCCTATATGTAATCGAGGGTTCCAGCGCCAAATTGCCATGCGAGCGCACTTTCAGAATGAACATGTTGGACAGCATGACCTCGTCAAAACTTGCCCCCTGTGTAGCTATCGTGCGCCTACTATGAAAAGTCTCAGAGTTCATTTCTTTAACAGGTATTATATATTACCATTAATAATTTATCATGCTTATACTTTATAAATAATAGATATTTTTAATGTAAAACTTCTCAACAGGCATGGCATCGACTTAGATAATCCTGGCCCTGGCAACAATGTTTCTTTCCTTGCTGCTGGAATAGCGAATGCAGCCTATGCTGACGGTACAATGGACCCTGTTGCTATGAATGCGTTAGGCGCTTTAGGCACTGGTCTCTCGGTATCTGTTGCCCCTGCATATTCGGATAGTGGCGAGAGCAATGGAGCTCGCTCGGTTGATAACGCCACTCCCCCCATGCATTATCTGACTCCACATGTGGAAATATCTATGGCTGATAACAACGAAACATTTTCTCCTGGACAATCTAATCACTTGGGGAACTCAGGTAAATATTTTTATAGAATTGTAACAAATATTATAGCCAAATATATATATTAATTGTATTATAAAGTAGCATAATATTTTAGACTTCCAAGCTTAAAAAGATTCCTTATCGACACTCATAATGGTATATTATAACAAAATAGAAATACTTTGCAAGAATATCAAAAAATGTATTTTAAATTGGTAATAATAAAATTGTTCCCTTATTTTAAGCATATGTTTTTTTTTAAACTATGACAGCCCTAACAATGCAATGTACATAATTTGTTGGAACATCACACACTACGAATAGTATTTAGTATGTGAAATAAATAAAGTCCTTACTTTGTTCAATTAATTCCTTATAAACATACTTACTTGAATCCTATATTAATTATACATATTCCACCAACTGATGAGACAGATGCGCGCATGAATGGTGAGGGTCCCAGCTCTCCTCAATCTGGGGACAGTGCCGTAGCAAGCAGTTCGCTGTCTGCAGGTCTACCTACCAACATCACTCCGTCAATTACATTGATACCTATTAAACAGGTGAGTGCTATTCAATTTAATAGTACGTACATATATATTCTACTAACTATAATATAGGCTATAAAAAGATAACGCATTGAACTATATTACACATACTGTGCATTCATATTATTGTACCAATGGTCTGCGTTAGTTTCGGTTTTCTGCTTTACCCTGTCACGAAATTTTTTATTGAAATTGTATTTGATAATTTAACATTTTAGGAACCTAACACTCAAGACGAATCAGGTTCAGGTGAAGTAAAGGAAGGCGAAGCTAACGGTGGAGATAAGCGCGGGGTTTCCTCGAGTTTATCTTCGTTGATAAAGGTGTCTCCGCTAAAGAGCCTTCTAAGAGAAGATTTACGTAGGCGTATATCGGCTCGCGGACGCGCTAGAAATTCAAATGTGCGTATCTGTTTAAATATGTTCATTTTCATAATTAATCAAAATCAATTATATGTTTGTTTGTATTGTCTTTGCTAATCTCTCATTCGAATTAGGCGGCGGCAAAATAATGATTAATGATCTATAACATTTAAGTTAGTTTTAATATTTGAATGGATATGATTTAATTCAATATGATTTTTTTTTCAAATATAATAGCGATACGTAATCGTTGATGTAAATTTTTACTTAAATTCGGCTACTCATATTACCCATACCTACGATATAATAATACATAATTAGAATTGTTAGATCACTATAAAAATAAATGCTTTCGTTTACTTGTTTTAAAATTAGAAGTAATGGTCATAAGAAATATAATTTTATGACTAATGGGATAACACTAATAACGCCTTGTGTCGACCGGGCGTAGTAGAAGCGTGATAATGAACTTCATACTTTAAGATTATATTCTAATCTTAAAGTATGAAGTTCATTATCACGTTTCGCAATATTTTATTTTTAATTACACATAGAAATGAAACATATCACCATTAATGATAAATTAACTTGAATACATTTTCAGGCCTCCCGGGCGTCTCCTTCGGAAGGCGGCGTGATCACCTCCACCCATGGCGAGGCCGCCATGTTGCCGGCCTCACTCGTATGTACATTTTGCGCTATAACATTCCCGGACTCTACACTATACTTTCTACACAAAGGTTGTCATTGCGACTCCAATCCGTGGAAATGTAATATCTGCGGCGAACAATGCTGCAACGTGTACGAGTTCAACTCCCACCTGCTTAGCAAGAGCCATCAATGACTGTTTGCAGGGGGGCCGTTCGACAATCACTGACTTCGTGTTTGATGATGCACTTTTCGTAAAATATTGTGTGCATAGTCCGTAAGCACTTCAAATATATTTCACTTTTCTATTTCTAATCTAATCATATATACATATCATACTTTTCGAAGTTGTAATGTCTTTATTAACTATTTTTCTCTGTTTTTTGTTGACTCAATCACTTCAGGCACTGTTGGGTTGAAGTGCTTCGAATATGCTATACGCTGAACGTCCCCCCGAAGCTGTTTTTGTTTTAAAAGTGCAAATTACGTCAAGGTATATTTAGTGGTTATAATTATAGATAAATGAGCGAAGATATTTATATGGATATTTTAGTACTTAATTGAAAAATGGGTATATTGAGATGGTAAATGAGAAATTACGATATAAAATTAGGAAGTGCTCCTTATGGATTATTGATAAAATTATGAATTTGTTATCATGAGTGTGCCAGGGCATCACCTCCGGCCGGGTCCGGCTGAGCCGGGCAACTCCTGTTTGTGATCAACATCTGAAAATTCGATAACATTCCAAATTATGACGTATGCATTCCATAATATGTGAGATTAGAGTCTTTGGTGGGGGCAATGTACTTGTTGTTTACCCTATACTAGATTGTGTTTTATTTCGATTTACGGTACTTAACTGTATATTACCATCATTAATAATAACAAAATTTTAGAGTATTTTTGGTGCGATAGTGAATTTTACAAATGTTTAGATTGTACAAATTAATATATTTTTACATTTCACTGTTGACAAGATGTTATAGAAAGGCATAGCCTGTATTTCCGTGATTGTTTATTATTGTGATTGTGTACAGACATGAATTTTAAATTCTACATTCCGTTTATTATTTATATTTTCTTATTGAAGTGCATGTAATGCAAGTCCACGACTAATACTTAATGTACAATTTTAAAATATTTTGTTGTTGTTATTTATATTTCTAAAATATTATATTATTTAAACCCAAAATGTACTTAAAATTTTTATCTATTCTATTTACGATTTGATCTTTTGATGTAGGCGCTTTCTGTGCGGAGTTGATAGGTTCTATGTGATGTGTATTTACTTGAAAAAATTACACTTGCTCAATATAGCTCAACTACGGAGCATGTAAGTTTTTCTGCTCCCACAAAAGCATAATAATAGTATTGCTTCCTATTAATTGAAGTTATTAAATTAAAACAGAAAGTTTATCGTGCTTATATTGGTGCCTTTAGTAATTTATTACGTTTTATTTTATTTTGCATAATTTATGAATAGCGACTAAGTTGGCTGGTAGTAATTGAATATACAGAATTATCAAGGACCAAAACTTGGATTTTTGAGATCTCTCTACAATACGGAACATTAATTAGTTTTTTATGGTTTACTTTCTTTTTACTAAAGAGAAAGGAGTGCTCAACCTTATGGTGAACGATTGTTAAATTTATATTGATGTACAAAAATCATGTATTGTTACATTTTATGAATAAATTGTAATAATATCATGTTATGCATATATTATGTTGCAATCAAATTCCTAGCATGATCGGAGAAAGTCTACTGACGCGACCTCATATTAGTTGTAGACTTGTTGTAATTTAAATATTATAGTCATGAACTTTAATATATTTCCCTGAACCTACTAGATTGGTTGTCCTTTAGCATTTTTGTTTTAAAAGTAGGTAACCTGAGATTTACATTCCTGTAGTAGATAGTAAGTACTTAATATCGGTTGTGGTCTTGCCTGTTAAGTTTACGAATTGACTTAGATGGAACTGAAATTGTTTACCAACGAAGTTATGTATTTTGTTTTGTTTTACGACAATGGTATTAGGTTAGAAGCCGGCGCACGCGGTAGACATCCGTGACCACGGATCAAGTGAGTTACCTGAAACGAGCAACACATTTATTTATAGAGATTCTTTATTATGCTGTTTCATTGTTGGTTATATATAACGAGAATATTTTACTTCTAAATAAATTCTGCCGCAACCGCCGCAATGTAATTCTAAGTGTAGGTTATTATAAGAGCTATTAATATAAATTAACGGTAACCCCACTGGGCGCCTTTACTTAATCCGTCCATATCTAATGATAAATATTGCCTTTAATATTTAATAGAGTAATATATTTTATAGATTTTAGTTGTAATTAAGAACAGATCTAAGTATAAAGTGTTTACAGAATGCAGAGGTTTAAAGATATATAGTTATATTTATTTATCATATATTAAATTGTAGCCTGTTTTGCTAAGAAATCAAGCGTATCATGTTATTTAGCCAAACATGCAATATGTTATAGATTAATAAGATCCAGGCGCTTGATTTGTTTGTGATGCAGCGAAACATTGTTGAATTGTTCCAGTTTAAAATAAATATTTTGTGTGGTAATATTTTAAACTATATAGGTACTTGAAAGTATTTTAATATTGACCAGATAATAAAATGTAAAATTACATTTTGAATAATGTAGATATGTTTCAGTATTTTAAATTCACCTTTGTCAATTTATTTATAATAAAATTTCAACTATTCCATCAAGTACTACTTAATGACATTGTTGATGTTATTAAAATTTTATTATTATATTCATACTGTAGATAATTATAATTGAATTCATAACATGTCACTTGAAATACTACTATCAAGGGAAATTTCTTAGTATAGTGATCCTCACCTTAATACCAAATCACAGCTTACCAACATTATAATTTGTTTTAAGTTGTTGTGTATTTAATATATAAGGTAGATAAATTAACAAGGTTGGAAGCAATTAATTCTATCTTTAGACAGTATAATTTCTCTGTTACAATTTTTATGTTATATTTACTAGAGGTGAATAATAATATTTTACTAATGACTAGAATGGATACTATTTTTCAGTGAACTTGTTTAAATTATGAGTGATGTGAATTACTATATCAAATCATTGATTGTGCCTTAGATTAATATCAGTGTTGAAGTGGTTTTTGGAATTTGTGAAATAAAATATCTGATATTTAGATACTGTTGACTTTAATACTGTTTAAAAGAATGTGGCATTAAAACAAATTTGTTTTACACAGAATCTATTATATAAAATCCATAGAAAAAAGTATTTTACAATATGGCTGTTTTGCTTGTTTTTATGATAAAGTTTATTTACAGTTGATATACATTGTTCTTATCGTTTGATCATGATGATCTAGAGTATCAAGAAATGGTATATATTACCGAGTGTAGTTCTATTTATTTACTTTATAATAATTTGGTAAAGGGTCTAATAAAATATTAATAAAGTATGAGACGTAACTTTAAGAGTATCATTTTAATTTCCTTATATTTATAATTTTATTGACAATTAGTAAAATGTACAAAACTTTGTTGCTTTTAGCCTAATTTTAGCACGCCATCTATTTGGGCGTCTAATGCAGCCTCTCGAAGTATTCCTTATTTTATGGATTTGTACTTTCAGTATATTTAAAATATTGCAAAATATATTTGTATGGACACCTTGTGAATAAAATACAATTTCAAAATCAAATAGTATATTTAAAAAAACACACCATTTTAATTGTTTTAAAATGTACTTTTATTTTTACCATAGTTACTTGTACCAATATTTCTAATATACATCACTGTATTTTTCTGTTATGCAATATATACGTCTACACAGTATTCTGAATTTAGTAGCTTATAATAAATATTAGAATTTTCAAGTAGAATTTTCTCTATACATATGGTAGCTAAAACATGTAAAGAGAAGTGCTTTAGATACAACGCGCCTCTTGCGAACATTAGTCGAAACTATTGGATTGGCTAGACAAGCATCCGAAATCCCTCTAGGACGGGAAGGGTGAAATCATTGCAAACAATGCTGCAATGTGAGTTTTAAAAAATTAATAGATGGCGCTACCTACACGATACATCAATGATGTGAGATTTAAAGATGATATATAAGTTATAAGCTTTCATTAAAAAGCACGCTTTTCGTTTGTACTAATCCTAACTTAAATGGTCACACCGCCGAGCCGCAAAATTATGTCTTGTCAAAGTGATCTAAGAAATGTCAGAACGTGACATAATCTGTGCCTTAATCAAATTTACAATTGTGATTCAAAGTACATAAAAGAATATATAAAAGTTTACTTACTTTTTTAAATACTTCTTGTTTTTAAACTATAAAAGGAAACTTAATAAGCATACCCACTGGCCCTATTCCCTATATTTATACAGTGGAATGGGAAAATCGACGCATGTTGATGGCGACAACAATCCAACTTCGCCAGAGACCGATCCTGCAAAGTTATTGGAAGCAGCTCTATTGCAGATGGATGGTATTATAGCCGGTAAGAACACGAGTACAATGTATACAGAACTTTCAATTATAGTTTTCAAACACTTGCAAAACTTTTCTAGTATATATTTCAGGGCTCCAAGCTTGACTGAGTATCGAGGTTTTCATTTCCTGTTTTAAATAATATGGTATCTTATTTACAATTTTTGGTAGGACTAATAGTTCATATTCAATTAACAGTGTAGAGTGGCTGGCTAGATGGACTCATTACTACACATTGTATACCTCCCAATAAATAGAACAAAAAGAGGAGACAGTAATTTTCAAGACTTTTCTTGCTCCTCCAATTAAAACTTTAGTTCTGGAGACATCCAGAACTGAAGTTTTTATTTTGAGGAGCAATCCATTTCTATTCGAAATACAGATACCCCTTAATAACTAAGTTCAAGTCTCTTACAATTTTGATTTATGCTGTGCTATGTCCAAAAGAAGATATAATAACAATATAAACATATCATTTAACCCAATTAATAAAATTTGAATTTAAATAGAAGTTTTGCAATGAGTATTAAGCAACTATTATAAATTTTTGGAAGTTGAGATGACTGTTGGACAGTGAGGCGATTAGTTAAAATACTATAATACTGGTATTAGTGATAACAATATAGTTACAATAATTAACACTAACTACTGAGTTATATCATACAAAAGTTGGTGTTGTTGTATATTCTATATTTATGGACTCACAATTAATTGTACTAGCATCTAAGAAATGACAATATAATATTCTTTTTCTAACTATTTAAATGTAGTAGTTTTTTTATTTATCTAAATGCACCTTCATCAGTTATTATATCTGGTTACTCTTGACCTTGGAAAACATAAATTTAAAATTGCCTCTGATTCCAATTTTCAACTACAATTTGATGATTGACATTTCCTGTCAGTTTAGATACCATAATGGTCTAAATTATCTGATTTGATCTTCATTACATTCTATGTTGCCTTGTTTTTGAGTATTCTCATATTGCCATTTTGGCTATAACTACTGTGTTTAACATTAAACATTAGTTAGAAATACATATTATTTTTTTATTAACATACATCATATACATTGGAGTTGTAGTATGGCTGTTTGTATCGGTCTGGGTCTATGTATAATATGTATATATATTTATGAAAAAAAAATATCTATGTATATGTATCAGTTATCTAGTGCCCATAACACAAGCTTTAGCTAGCTTAACTTGGGTCTAGATGATGCTGTGTGAATTGTCTTGAGATTATTATTATTATTATTATTATTATTGGAGTTACCCAAATAAATACAAAAACATATATTTTGAGTCTTGAGTGACCATTGTAAGTGAGGCTAGATCGGAGTGTGCTAAATCACAAAACCTTGAGTCAACACTAACTTTCTCATAAATAGATTAGAATTTAAAATATATGCTATAATTACTGGTATAATGATGAATACTGTGCTTGTAACCTGACAGTGCAATTCAGCATACTGGTAATATTTAAAATGTAATTTGCATACCGCATAATGGTGGTGATACATGCTATGTGTTGACATGGCTGCAGTGTATTGTAAATTGTGCCAAATATTGTTCTTAGATATAAATTATAAAATTTCAATATCCCTTATTTAATACTAATACTCCTAGGTTTAAGTAGACAGTTGACAGCCTCGATGGGCTAGTGGTGTAGCACAATACCACTGTACTTTTAATGATTACTGATCCACTCTTCGCATTAACTAACCATTACATTGTTATCCATAAAAAAAATTATACTATACTAAATGATAATTAATTGTATTGAATGTGATGTGTGAAGGGAAATGTTAATAATAATAGGGAACCTTAATAGTTACAATGGACTTAAATAATTACTGTTCCTCATATATAGGTATATCTTCTAAATACAGACAGCGATCAGTACCCAATATTTTAATTTATTTATATATTGCAGGTCAAACACATCCTAGAAATTTGACATAGCGTATTTTCAAAGTAACAAACCCATCTACACCATATATCGATACGGCAACTTCAATGATCGCGTTGCATCTTCAAAGTAGATGTAGAATTGTTGTTTATTGAGCTAATAACATAGTTTCTACCCCTTGTAGTGTTTCACTTGAAGTGATAATATTGTATATGTAGTAACACAGCTGTCGTGAAGGTTCTTTAAGAAGTATCGTTTTCGCGAGAGGGTGCAATCTGTTGAACGGGGGGTGGGTGGTGTGGCGCCAGTCCGCCGCTGTACGCCGCCTGTCCGGACGTCACGACGTCCCTGCGACAAATGCGTACGCATTAACTCGACCTCGCGATTGTTATCCTCACGCGACATTCTCACACTTACATTACAAAAAATATTTCTTAGTTAGTTACTTTTATATAATATAATATATATATATATTTAAAAAATCGACCTTACATTCATTTCCATATCGGAAATAAATGTAATCGTTTCTTTATATTAAAAATTTTTATTTTCGTGCATATCCAGAATTCCAGAGTAATAATATAGTTCCCGAGTTTGAAGACAAGAGAAGTAGGATTCTCATATTTCGATACTAGCTGATGTCACGTGGTCACTTGTTAAAATGGGTTACATTCTATTACAAAGTAATACATTACCTACTAATTTAACAATGAAGTAACTAGCGTCTTTGGTAATTAAATCGTTATTGTTTATACACACATAAAGATAACACAATAAAATTTGAACTATCTCTTTCAATTAAACGTCTGTCTCATCTATTTAGGTGCCAAACAGCTTGCATTATAAGCTGTTCAGTTGGAGGGTGAGATATGGCAGTGAAATGACTTGAGCAAATCATTAAGGGTTACCATGGGCGTCGCCTGATCGTAAGACATTCAAGGTGCTATTTACGAGTATAGGGAACGGTTACCTAACATTAGGTGACCCTTCAGATTTCTTGCCACTACAGTTACATAAAAAAATAGTAACCAACGCATCTGATGGTATTATTGGATAGTGTTGTTGCAAACTGATGATGAAGTTTGGTAGGCGGTTGCACTCAAAATTAGTGTATGTGTCGCTGACGCCCGATTTCGATCCACCAGTAGGGCCGATCGTTCGGATGCCAAATAATATTTAACCCTTTTAAGAATCTGTAATAAAACACAAACACTAACTAAACACGTAATAAAATAAAACACTACACAAATTTATGCCAGATTATTATGTTAATTTGTAATTGGTCGAAGGACAATTGGTTCTGAAATACTTTGGAAGCTTTGGATAACGAATTTTATTTATATTTTGAATATGGAAAATAGTTTGTCAAAATGCACATGATTCTGGTAAAATGCTATGTTTTATTAATTGTCGCGCTATCTGAGTTAAATTTTGCGTATTATTTATCCCATATTGTAGATTCTTTGATGTATCAAAAATATATTTCTTTTTACTTTATATTTTTAGCTGTACATCGATTGACAAAGGAACTCGCTCTGCTAATCATAATTGTAACTTACATAGTCTCTTGAAAGTATTATTAAATAAAGCTTGTCATGAAAGTACGTTGGTATAATTTTCAAGCACCTCTCGGCACATTTTTGCCATTCTTGTGTTAAGTGATTCTGTAAAAATGAACAGGGAATGTAATGTCAGCTGGGTTGCGTCAAGATTAAATTTTTGAGGCGTAACTTATCGCCGCCATTCTCGTCTCGTCCTCTAAATATTTGCTGAATTATCTAAGAGGTTCTCTGTTTTGTATTCCTTTTTTATAATGGCCTATATTCGTATTTAAATTGTAATAACGTATCTCTCTGAATCAGTCTACTGTGAATAGGAGATTAATTTCCAGTGTTTCAATGGCATGAAATGCTATCATTTTTATAAACATTTCTAAATACAAAGTTTTGTTCTAAGTAGAAATTTAAATGTAAATTTTATTTAAATGTTATCATATAGCATTGTTAGCATATTATGCAGACATGAGTTCCTATTTTATTTTTTTACTTGCAA